TGTCAATAAAGATGACAAATTACTGCTTTTGTTATATAATATATATATATAATGCACAAATCAAATGTGATAGACAAAATGGTTTGTGTGTCTGCTCTTCTGACAAAACTGCTAGCTGTCGGGATCATTAGCTTGTCAGAGTCACCCCAAGAAAAGTTTGAAAGTCTGTTTTCCCAGCCTGGCGCCTAAAGAAGGAATCAGGGCTCTTCATTTCTCGGTCTCAAGGTTGTTCATTTTATCTTATCTATGAAAATTTTCTCCTGCCCTGCCGAGGTCAGCTCACCAAGACAGTCCGAGGCACTCTGCCTGCCCACAGGGCGGTGTTATGTCTTTATACTACAAACTACAAATACAATGTTTACAATTACTTTCCAATACCCATCACCTATGTTAGACAGTGAGCTTCTACTCTAAACCAATCTCTAAGTGCCAACATCACAGCAGAAGATGGAGGCCAAGAAGAAGAAGGAGAAAGGCTGGATGCACCCAGTTCCCTCCATCTTGCCTCCTGAACCCCCATACCAAAAACCCTGAAATCTACTTTTCCACCCTGTGATAACTTCACTAATATTCTACTTAAACTGTTGTGGCTTGGTGATCTTCATAGAAGGTTGGTAATTTGCTCCACAGGTCATAATCAAAACCACAGGCATTTTGGGCTCTGTGCCAGGGTCTCTGAGACCCCTGGCGGGGGACTTGGCTGCTCAGGACAGCCAGAGGGATGTCCTGGGTCCTGACAGCTAGCACTTGAGAAACACAGCTTTGCAACTCCTCCTGCCTCCCTTCTTCTTCTTTCATGCAGTTTGAGAATTATCCTAATCTTAAAAAAGGTGAATGTGACAGGAATGTGTGATTGAAGTAGGAAAAGAGATGGGTCTGGAGCAGGTTAGAGATATAAAGTAGAAAAGCAGGGCTAGGAGACAGTGTGTATCTTTGATGTACACTCTTCACGAGTGTCACCTTTGCCTGCTGTTTCCAATACCTGTGAATGCCCACCCACGTGATGTGGATGTTACTTTCCCTCTGCAGGAAAGGTTGTGGTGTGCTGCTGCAATGAGAACTCCCTTAGCTCATTCTGGTCACTGTTTGTGGGGGTTTTATTTCAGGGCCATGTATATGTCCACATGGGCCATGTGGTTACAGGGCTGTTTCTTTGGCAAACTTTAATTAAAAGTGAGAAAATGACCAAGAAACCATTGAAAGAACTCTGCTAAGGTCACTAATACAAATATTTGAAAACTGAGCAATTTCAGAATTCAGATTTTAGATGAAGCTCTAGTGTGCTCCAAATGTGAAAGCGGTTCTTTTTCCTAAAATCAATAATTTTAAGTTTACAGTCCAAAAATATTTTCCAGTGGGATGTTTCTTCCTTAATTGTATTATTTCATGGCTTCTGTCTCTTTCAGTACTGTATTTCAAATTTACTCTTGAGTGGGATCAAATCTGGAAAATAACTTTTCTCTAGAGCTTACTAGTAGCAGAAATTAGAACATTAATGGAGATTGATGAAGAAACAATACTTTTCCTTACGTAGCATTTGAATCACACAGTGATTGAGGCACCTCTGCAGGTCATTCTGTTCAAACTCCTTGCTCCAGCAGGGTCACCTAGAACAGGTTTCCTGGGACTGTGCCCAGCTGGCTTTTGAATGTGTCAAAGGATGGCATTTCCACAGCCTCTCGGGGCTGCCTGTCCAGGGCTGAGCAGAAAGCTGCAGTGTGAGCCCCATCTCGGCTTGCGGCTGTCTTGTGCATCAATTTGGCTTTTCTAGACTTCCAGCTCATCCTGTCAATAAAAACAAAAAAACCTATCAATTCATATGTGTTTTTAATATCTGTAGCAATTGAGCACTTGGCTGGTATGAGCTCAGGTAAGGGAGTGATTGAGCAGAGGGAAAGTGGGACTTCTGAAACTGTTGAGTTTCAATATGTGGGCACAAGGGGACAAAGAGAGTCAAGCTGAAGAATCAGGTTTAATCTAGGGGGTGTTTTATTTGGCAGATTTTGTATTGTTAAAAGTTTTGTATGTAATTTTATACTTTTGAACATAATACAGTAAAAAATTTTTGATGAAAGGAATAAATTATTTTTCATAGGAGGCACAGAGGGTATGGGATAGGTCTGAAGTTTAGCCTGGTGCAGTTTTTAGAAATAAGAAAAATAATGTTCTTGTTTCTCTTGTGAGTATAATGGATATTTCCTGGGTGATGTACAGGCTGAACATATATTTTAGTGTTCTTACCAGAAGGCAGACAGCCTGCTTGAGAAAGTTCTCTTGCTTCCCTTCTTCCCTCTTCTTTCCTACTTCCTGTCCTCTCTTCTTGGAACAGCATTTAAATAGAATTAAAAGCTTTGCACAAGAATGCTTGAAATGCTTGTGACTTTGACTGTGCGAGAACCCATTTTATACTTCTGGCAGATTTTCAGGGAAGCTTAGCCTTGTGTTTCTTGATGCTATGACATGCTCTGGACCAACAGCACAGAAGCTAAACTTGCACCATCTCCTGGGAACCTGGGTCGTTGAGCCAGAAGGGGAGACATTGGGATTCTCTTGTGCTCTCTGTGTAGCCCAGAGTGTGCTACAGGGCCCACATCCCACCCTCCTGCATTTAAAAAATACAGTGTCCAAATTGGGAGGGGGCTTTGAAGAAGGCATGATGCAGTATAGGTAAGATAAAACAAAAAGTAGTTACAGGAGGAAACATGTTTAAGCAGAAACATTAAATTATGAAGTTTAATTATGATAAGAATAATTCATTTCCACTCATTTAAATCAGATGCATAAAAAAATAAACACATGATCAGATAATTCAGTTTTCAGCTATCTCTTACCATTGAATATCTTTCTCAGAGCCATCAGCTGTGTGTGATTTTTTTGTTTGTTTTGTTTTTTCAGTGTTAATATGCAAGTATCTGATAAATTTGGATTTAATTTCTAGGTCTTTTTTGCAATTTGGTGTCTTTATGCCCTGGGTAAGCATCACTTTTATTTAATAAAAGTGTTGCTAGGTAGTTGAAAAATTTGAATAACTTAATTAAAATAAAAAGGCACGCATTTAATTTGTTTCATTTTCTTTTTGTTCCTCAGATCTGAATATGTGAAAATAAATGCATATCTATATATTTGAGTGCATGTATGTGTATATATATACAGATTGCATATATATTATGTCTGTGTGTAAGCTACAGCTTTTATGACCGATACAGCAATTTCTGTGGTGCTTACTGCTCAGGTGAAATTCTGGAACAAAACCAGATTTATTTGTTAGCATTGGAATTAAAATAACTGGCTCCTTTCAATTAATGGATGGGTCTTCATTTCAGATAATAAGGGATAGGTTTGAATGCTTTGTGGTTCAAGGAATCTGATTAGACTGATCAAGCTGCTGCACTTACAAAATAAGAATATTCTAATATGATTGTGGGCAAATCTGCTGTTCTGCTTGACCACATTATCCATGGCTTATCTTTTTCATCAGCTTCTGCTGTGCATTTTCACCATGATAAATGAGGTAATGGGCTACCTAAGGGTAATGCTGAGGAAGATTAATAGCCAAATAAATAAATAAATAAAGGATTGAGGATTTTTTGCTTTTCACATAAAAAAGTTATGTCATCTACTTCTTTGACCCTTCTTTCAGTCTGAACCCTTTGGTGGTTGCTTTGCTCGTTCCCTTCTTGCTGGCCTGGAAAAAATACCCTTTAGAGCTTTATGAATTTACATATGTATTTTTTTTCTTGCGCTCATCTTCAATCTTTTGTGCCGTTTTGGGCCCCACAATATAAGAACGATTCAAACCTATTGGAGGGCAGCAAGGATGGCAAAGGGCCTAGAGGGGGACGCTATATGAAGAGCAGCTGGGGTCACTTGGTCCATTCAGCCTGGAGGAGACTGAGGGGAGACCTCACTGCAATCTGCAGCTGCCTGGTGAGGGGAGGAGCAGGGGCAGGCACTCATCTCTTCCCTGTGGTGACGAGTGACAGGGCCTGAGGGAACAGCATGAGATTGCATCAGGAGAGATTACGCAAAAGTTTTTCCACCGAAGGGTGGCTTGGTACTGGAACAAGCTTCCTGCAGAAGTGGTTGTGGCTCCAATCTTGCCAGAGTTCCAGAAGCATTTGGACAGTGCTCTTAGGCACACACTGTGGTTTTTGGGACTGTCCTGTTTTGGACTTAAAGATTCTTGTGAGTCTGTTCCAACTTAGGATATTCTATGATATGTGGATTTTAACCAAGGTTGTGTTTGAAAGGATGTTCTCTTTTAGAGCCTTGACTGATTTGCAATCGGAAGAACCAAAAGTTATCTCTAAATCATGGGAATAATATGAAAAAAATACGATTCCAAATTGAAAGGCAGAAATAGGACAATTGGAGAGAACTGTTTGGAGAAGTAAAGAAGTTGGAAGTGAAGTTATGGACTAAGAACCTCAAGTCAAAATACAAGTACTTTCATTAATTGTCTTACAAAAAAGAAATTGCATTTTAGCCTGGTTTCTCAATGATACTAAGCTTCCATGATCATTTGGGCTCTTTCTTCCTCAGCAGCTATTGACCTCTGATGATCAGTCCAACAAGGCTTTCAGAAGACGTTTTGTGACTGTCAGCAGGCAAAGGAGTGAATCCCAAACTTTTCCCAGCTGTGGCAATTACTTCCATTTGTCAGCAGCTGAACAGACATCGAGCTTTGTGTATTGGTTGGCCTGTGGGGGAAGAGTGTAGTTGAAAATTATTTAGTGCATGGGTTTCTCTAACACTGTAACATTGCACTTGCCAGCTCTTGCCTTAGAGTGTTTTTAGTAGAAGACTTCAAAGGAACAGAGGTGGTGGAAAATAGCAGAGAAATCATTGGAAATCCATGGTTTCTTGGATTTTGTTGCTCAAAGAACTGACTTCTGATGTAGGAAAGAATTCTGAATTCACAGTAGAAGTGTGTAATCCTATTTTCTTTATATTTCCTTATTTGTTTGTTTGTTTATCCTTGGGTGTACTTTTTGTTGCAGTGGTGTGATGAAAGATTCGACTTCCAAGCTACATTTTTACAGTGCTTGGCAAAACATGTGCCAAATATTTACTCAGCTGAAATGGACCCCTTGGTGGAGAAACAAGAAGAAATGGTCCAGGCAGCAATATTATACCCCCTGGAATGTTATTTGTTTGGGGAGGACCCAGATATGTTCCTGGAGAAACTACAGCAGAGTGGAACCTCCCAGCTGTGTGGAAAGGTGTTCAAAGGAGGGGAGACAACGTACTCCTGCAGGTGAGGATGAGGGTGTGTTTTTATCAGTGTTCCCATCTGAGGTAATGCAGCAAAGTGCTTTAATAAAATCAGTTGTGCTGCTAACTAGACATTGCTTGTGTCATGGGACTTCTTTGCTTAACTAATGTTGGCATTTGTTTCCCATTTCAAGCCACTTTAGAGTGAGGAAAATTGTGTATGAAAAGAGGCTTTGGCGGAGAAATGGGGAGGGAAATGGAAAAGTTACTAAAAGTACTGAAAGCTGTTTGTTAAAAGTGTTGGATGATAATATATGAATAGGGAGTCTGTGCCTGAATTGAGGGATACAGTACTCACTCACCCTTTCAAAGTCTGAAAAAGAATCCAGCATTTCTGAGCATCATCAGTCCTTTGCTTTGGGAATAGCCGTGTGAACAATGGTAATTTTTCACCTTTTTTTCTCATCCTGCAGTATATTAAAGGTGGCAGCTCATTGAATTGATAGAATTAATTTTATTAATTCCTGTTAATACAAATATATTAATGAGTATCATGAATAAAATATATTATTATTAAAAAGCTAACAGTTTTTGTGGTGAATGTAAAGATTGCAACAGTTCTGGCAATTGGTGAGCATTAATATGATGTTATTGCCATAGTTTATTCTAATTTTCAGTTTATTTTAAGAGCTTAGAAGATTTAATTAGAAATAGTAAGAGAATATTATTAAGGATTAAAAGCACGATCAGTAAAAAATTCATTCCTTAGAATTTAGGAAGTGTCAAAATAAAAGCTCTCTATATACTTTATTTATGAATTTCCCTGTAAAGTGTGGGATCTCAGCCTCTCAGAATTGGGGTGCAGGGTGAACAAGACCACCCCTGGGGGGCTCGGGAGTCCTGGAATGTTGCCAGAAATGTCTGGTGGCTGGACTTTGATCCCACAGGGGAGATGACATCAGTATGAGGATAGGAGGATTTCACCGGGGTGAATGGTGAAGGGATAAGTTAATTAGAGTGTGAGATACAGGATTTAAGATTTCTGTACAGGGGGGTCTAGAGAAGTAAGATGGAGGAATTGGGGCGTGTCCTTCTCCTTCTTCTTCTTCCTCTAGGCCTCCATCTTCTGTGGTGATGTTGGCACTCCGGGATTGGACCTTACTAGGGGAACACTGGTTAATAAGGGTAGAGGGTATTGGAGAAAAATGATAAATATTGTATACGTAACTCCGGGTATAAAGATAGGTGACCGCCCCAGGGGCTCTCAGTGTGTGCCCATGGCTGACTGCTGAGCAGAACTCTGTCAGGCCAAGAGAAAATCTTTTAGATAAGCAATTAATAAACACCAAGACCGAGAACAGATCTGAAGTTTCTTCTCGTCCTTTCGAACCCAGGCGGCCCAAGGCCATCTTTGGGCTTTTTCCAGACCATCTAAACAGCCCCAAATCCGACAGTAAAGTTTTAATCAATCACATACTCTTCAGCCTTTTCTAGAAATAGGCTAGTGTTGTGCATGAAAGGAGAATGGTCTTTGAAGAAGTCCTGCTGTGTGTACTAGAAAGCGTATAGGGACAGCTGCATGAAGGAAAAAGCAGGACAAGGCAGTTTAGTGCTGTTAGAACAAGAATAATTCTCTTCCTACCTCTCCAGAGTTCATGTATGGTAGCAGGCAAAAAGACAAAGCTAAATGTCTGAGTTGGTCTCTTTCTTATTTTTTTGAGTTGCAGTCTTGCAAAAATGTGGTAGTATTTCTACAAGGTACTGTATTGTATTACTGCAACTGAAGCTGGGTGTCTGTTTGCTTTAGGCTTCTAAAATATAAAAATCAGATACTCTGCAGGTTCAAAATCTGAATGTCTTGAATTTCAGATCTAGCAGGCACTTCTATCTTCTGTTTACTTTGATTAATCTTTCAGTAGAGTTATGGTAATAAATTAATGTTACAGAAGTATTAAATTATTGTAACAATTATTATAATCTGAAGGTTTGGAAGGAAGCTATTTCTGTAATCAGAATTACCTTGATGTTTTAGTTGTAAATGAGGCTTGAACTAAATGTTGAACAATGGTTTAGAGTAAAAAATTTGATATGTTGTCATTTAGCACCTGTCATCCACATTTTGCCTAGAATAAAGATGCATTTAAAGTAAAAAAATGTCCATGTTTTAAGGAAAAAGGCAATGTATAAAACTATATATGTGAAACAGAGGATAAAATGGAATTAGATTGCCCATGAGTGTAATTCCCTATTTTCAGGTTATTGAAATGCACGAGTGAAACTTTACAAGTTACATTTCAAAGTATGCATTCCTAGCTTATTTAGTAAGGAATTCTTTTCAGACTTTAACTTCTGTTTTAAAAGTTAGAAACATAATCTTGTAGAGGTATAGCAAAAGTTTAATGGGCAAACTGACTACTGACTGATGTTGGAAACAATAATAAAGGTTAATTCAGAGTCCTCACTGGTTTTCCTAGCTGCTTATTCTTAGCAAAACCAGAAAAGGTTTTGCTAAGCAAGTTTTGAAAGTTGAAATTGAGCAAGTTTTTGACAGAATTTAATGCAAGAGATTGCAGCACATGGTTCAAACTTAACAAGACTGGTTATTCCATGTCACAGAAGGATGATGAAAATCAATGTTTTTATAATTTGAATCTGTTTTTAATCTCATATTTTTTTTTTTTAACAACATATTCTTTTGTGCATGAAAATTTCAGGTGTTTGTTTTAGAAAGTTTTCCACTTATCATTTCTGTTGCAGAGACTGTGCAGTTGATCCAACTTGTGTGCTCTGTATTGACTGCTTCCAGAATAGCATTCACAAGAACCACCGGTACAAGGTAGGAAAATCTTCGTTTAAGAAGTGGTACTTGTAGCTTCAGAGGCTATAATGAACTGCATATAAACCATTAGTAATTTTACTATTGAAAAAATAAATTCTGGAATTTATGAATTAATCTCTCTCTCTTGTGTTTTTAGCTATGTAAAGCTTCTTCTCAGAACAGCAGCTTGCTAATTGAAGAAACAAAGGAGTGTTTATTAATGCATACAGCATAATTCTCTTTGGCAATTTCATGGAAGTGTAGGTCAGAGCAAAGAGCTGTGGCTGAAAATGGCCATTGTGTCCTAAGTCCTAGTCAGTTATGTTGGGATATAAGTAAGGTGAAAACCCAGGGAAACAGACAGTAATGATTACAGAGCGCTTTGGAGCCACAGCTGGGCTGAGAAACTGTTGTCATTTTTGTGTTTTTCAGTAAATTCTTCAGGCAGAACATCAGCTATGGAAGTAGGTAGTTAGATGGGAGCAGATTTGTAGCATTTTCATCTAAAGAATAGAGAATGTGCCCTTTATAGATTCATAGAATAATTTATGTTGGCAGGGGAGGTCACCTAGTCCAGCCTCCTGCTCAAAGCATGTCTAATTAGATCAGCTTATTTTAAAATGTTTCAGGTAAATAACAGATTTTTGAATGTCTTTTTATTGGGTTGGAGTTTTTTTAGAGTTATTACAAGACTGGGGATTTGGAGGAAGCTAAGGATAATTGGTTTTGCCTGAGTTTTGTCTGAACTTTTTGCCAAAATGGAGGCTCAGAATTTGTACTCTTCTGAAAGTGCAATGCAAAGTTAAAGTTATAAAAATGTATTTAGATGCTGATTGTGTCATCTTTTCTTTGGTTAGAACTACTACTAACTGTCTGTTTAATGTGCACATTGTTTTTTTATATTATTTTCTAACTTGGTGAAGCAATTTTAAAGAAGGCATAGCTTTGCTATTATTTTGTGAATAAACCCAGAAATATTTTGCCATTTATAAATAAGAACACTCATCGGTTATAGGCTTTTTCACTTACTTTCAAGTTAAATTTATTTTGGACTTGCATAGCTTTCTGTAGCAGCAATTTATTTATTTCTTCATTTTCTGCTAAAAAAGTTTATCTTTTACCCCCCTTCTCCTTTGCGAGGGGTAAAAGATAAACTTTTAACAGCTAAAAAGTTTCCTTTTATCTAAAATAAGTTATGGTAAGACTCTTCTGTTTTTAAGTAGATATTTATATTTGTGGTTGATTTAAATAATTCACAATGCTTTTTTCCTCTTGCTTTTTATGGCCATATTTCATGACTGAAATACATGGTTTTTCCAGATGCATAGCTCCACTGGAGGTGGATTTTGTGACTGTGGGGATACAGAGGCATGGAAGGCTGGACCACTGTGTAGTAAACATGAGCCTGGAGCATCAAGTTCTCCAAAAGAAGTAAGAACATTGCTTAAAGTGAAATAAAAAATTTTGTAAATGTTACTTTCTTATTTTAAAAAGTGCTTATTTCTGTATATGTCTTGTATAACTCACGTAACAAGTTCAGTCAAGTTGAATCAGGATTTCCTTGGTCAAGGTGTTTGGGTTCAAACATGTATATTAAACATCCTTTGAACTTTTTGCTTTTTGTTTGCAGGCAGTTTCATCTACCTATCTTGTGTGCTTGAGTCTTTCGTTTGGAATTGAAAGTACAGTCTCTTGTTCTTTTCCTTGCAAAGTATATTAGTTCTTATTTACAAATAATTGGTTTCCCAGCAGTTAGCAAATGCTTAGAAGTTTGATTTTATTTTTTTCTGCATTACTGACCAATTGAATTTGTCAGTTACTTCTGGTGTGTGATCTGTCACTATGACTAAAAAGAATGTTCTGTGCCTTTAAACTAACCTTTTTTGCTAGGATGTCTCATGGTTATTGTACCTGGTAAAAGAGCATATTAACAAAAATATGCCATCTTACAAGGAATTCTTAAAGACAATGTAGAAAAATCAGCTGCTTCAGGTAAAATTTGGGGGTTTTTTCCGAGTCCTTCATTCTGAGATAATTTAGGATGAAAAAAACCTCAGCATTTGTCATTGTAAGCAGACCCCAAATCCCTGATGGTTTTGTAGCAGACATACTGTTATTGATGTTCCAGTCCAAAAGTTGAATGGAAAAGGAATAAAAAGCACTGGCCTTACAGAAAAATGAGACAAAGTTTTCCTTCACTTTTTTGGCCTTCTTTTTGAAGAAAGTTAATGGATTTCAGAGATAAAAATGGTTGAAGCTGCAATAAGGAGTGATTTGTTTACCAGGGGAGCTTGTTGCTTGGTCTGCACTGGAAACTTTTAATATCTGTGGGAATGCAGAAAGCCTTTAACAGCTTTTTTGAATTCAAATTAAAAAAAAAAAACCACTAACAAAATTATAAAAATTAAAAAAAAATTAAAGAAGTATTTTTAGAAAAGAAACTAACACATTTGAAGAGGCCTTTCATATTCTAGGCCTGGATAAAACATGGATGCATAAAGACAGGTATATGAAACTGTTGGAGCACTACTGAGAGCCCTTGCGATGAAATAACTTTGTAAAGAAGAAATTAGGTGAGGTTAATTTGCTTGAAAATTGTGAACAGGATTATTTCCTGATTGTAGTACATGGATGTATATATAATTTACAGTATATATGTATATATGATAGTATAATTTCCTACAATATTAATAAGGTACTATATCAAGCCCCATTTAATTTTTTTAGATTCTTTTCCATATTAATATTATCTCATGTTTTACAGAATTCTGAATGTCACTTGAATGAAGAAATTATGGAGCATTCTAGAAGAGTGTTTCCCTCTGTGATAAAATACATTGTAGATATGCTTATCTGGGAGGAAGAGGAGGAACTGCCTATGGAGCTCACCATTAGGTAGGGAGTATTTCCAACTTTCTTTTCAATTCATTAGCAACTTGGATTATAATGTTGCCTGAAATAGTCTCATACTCATGCAGACATTAGTGCTGAAATCCCTGTAAACAGCACTGTGGCATATATAATACCTAGAGTTATGAAGAGAAAAGCTTTTAATACTTGATGGGAAAAGCAGTGTGTGACTGTCCTCCCTCAGTCACTGAAGGGAATTGCTCCTGAGCCAGCCTGATCTATAGTGAAATGGCAGGTCTTAGTGCAGTGGAGAGAACCACCAGGTGCCATTGACTGTTTTGGGAGACGCTGATGGGGTGCTAAGGGGCAGGGGAGCAGAACTGAGCTGGCAGGTTTTCAAGGATACTTTCCACAGTGCTTGAGAGAAAGATGTGGACAAACCTATTAGCAAGGGCTGTTGTAGTAGGACAATGGCTAATGGTTTGAAACTCTAAGAGGGTAGATTTAGGATAAATACAGGAAGAAATTTTTTGCAATAAGGGCGGTGAAGCACTGGAACTGGTTGCCCAGAGGGTTGGTGGATGCACCATCCCTGGAAACATTCAAGGTCATGTCGGATGGGACTCTGAGCAACCTGATCTAGTTGAAAATGTCCCTGCTCATTGCAGGGGGGCTGGACTAGATGAATTTTAAAGGTCCCCTCCAACTCAACCATTCTGTGATTCTGTGAAAATGGAAAAAGGCTGTGTATCACTTTAAAAAACAAATGGGTTCATAAAACAGCAAAGAAAGGAAATTATAATAGAATATCAAAGAACTTCAAAACTTCTCTTTTGTACTTGATAATTTCTATGGCTTTTTCTGGCACAGATGGTGGGGGATGTCATTAGCATGAAGAATATGCTTGATTTATTTGAATAACTTTTAAAATTGTATTTGGCATTCATCTCAAGCTATCAATTAAGCTGTATTTGAAAGGACACTATTTGCAATTTTACTTTCATTTGTGTGATATGTTACCTTTTTCCCAGCAGAGAGAAGGTAGACAGCTACTACTGTGTCCTTTTCAATGATGAGCACCATTCTTATGATCATGTCATCTACAGCCTGCAAAGGGCACTTGGCTGTGAACTTGGTGAAGCCCAGTTGCATACAACTGCTATAGATAAAGAGGTTAGTGCATTTGGGATATCAGAGAGTCACCTTCTAGTCATTAAGAGTTACTACTATAGTCACTTGGTTATAGAATCTTTGTTTCTGGTTGCTGGAGCTTGAGGAAGGAAAGGCACATGGCTGAGCAACTCTTAGTCAGCACTTGTTCCCCAGGTGTGGAGAACTTGTTTAGGAAGCACGTATCTCTGGTTATATTCTGCTATTTCATGTACTTTGTGCCAGGAGGAAAGTTGATATGGTTTGTGTTTAAAGTATTGTGCAGAAATCTCTTTCATCTTTTTAATGTATATATGAATTTTCCTTAAGATATCCAGAGTTTACTTGGTTGTTGTGTTGTTGATTTTAGTGTTTTTCTTACAGACAATGATGTTAATTTTTATTTGCTTCTTGGTGTTTAATAGCACTGTGAGTGGTGTTGGGCCCTGTTTTTCCTATTATGTATTAAAAACATAGCAAGGATCAGACTTGTGATGCTTTAGGTTTGCTTTGTATTGGTCTCATGCTCACTATTTTCTTGAACAGGGTCGTAGAGCTGTTAAGGCAGGACATTATGCCTCTTGTCAGGAAGCAAAAGAAGAAATTAAGGTAACTTCCTAAAGTAATTTTCACAAAAAAACACCCCATACCAGCCTAATTAGTATTGACACTGATTGTCTGCCATACAGTCTTTAGCTTAGTACGTCCATGGTTTGATAATTTGCCTGTGAACTTTTTGGAATTGAATTTACAGTACCACATTTGAGATAGATGTCTTCAGAAATAGATCATCAAACTGTTTTCTTTGTTTTGCTTGGGAGAGATGGTGGGGAGTGAAAATAAATAATTAAATAATTTATTTTATTTTATATGCACTAATATTTACCTGACTCCTAGAGGCATTCTGAAAATGTTTCTCAACGGCCTCTTCACGTGGAGGTTCTGCATGCTGATGTTATGGCACACCAGAAGTTTGCCTTGCGCCTTGGTTCTTGGCTGAACAAACTCATGAGCTATTCAAGTAAGCATTGCTGGGTTTTGTTAAAATAATGCCATACCAGTATTTGAATAAATTAAGCAGTGTTATATATGATATTCCCTTAATTAAAATACTTTGATGTTGTTTCTAATTAGGAAATTATTAGTGCAGTAGCATGGGTGATAATATCCGTTAGCAAGGTTATGAATAGCAGTACTTTTCTTCTTGTTGAAATAAATGTGTTTGTTTCCCTGATGGAACACTATCTCAAAATTTTATTATTTTCACTTTTAGCATCACATGCACTCAGTGTGTGACTCCTTTACTTAAAAGCTTCCCTCCTCAGTGCTGGTGGAAACCCACAGAGCATCTCTGTCAGTGGAAACATACATCCTCTGCTTACATGAATTTCTGCTTCAGATTTGATAGCTGTGATTAGAAAGTGTCAATAAAAAAATATTAAAATCTTAATTAATTTTTTTCCAGTACTGGAAAGTCTATTTGAAGCTTTCAAACACTGTGCTGGTGTTTGATGATGCTTATAGTTTTAAAGATTCCTGAATCAATGTACTTTTGATTTATTACTGGTTTTTTCCATACCTCTGTCTTGCCACACTAAAGCCATTATAAAATTTCTCCACACAATACAAATATGAATAGATTAAACTCTAATAACTTCTTACCCTCCTCCTTGATAGGTTAATCTGGTGGTCTGCTTTAGCCCCTTTGTAAGATTCAATGAAGTGAATGTCTTCTAAGGTTTTTTGAATGCTTGCTTGAAATACACAGATCAGAACTGTACTTTTTTTGTAATTCTTTACAGTGTTTTACAAGTTTTAGTGTTCTGTTCTTTTCAAGTTTGTATTTATTTTGCCAACAGTATTTTCTTGCTGTTCTGAGTTCTTCAGACAGTTCTTCCAGTTGGTGCAAGTTTTTTGAGTGTGGATTATTTCAAAGTTTCTAGTGAAAGTTTGATTTTTACTGAGGTCAGTTAACAGATACTTTTATGTTTTAGAAGAGTCTCTAAGTACAAAGATTGAAGTCAAACATTCCTGTCCTTCTGGATTATATACACAGAGGCTTTATGAGCCTGATGTTCCATACTCAGCTGGAACCTTTGCATGGTCAGGTGGTTCCTGTTCTTCTCATGGTTTTGTTTCAAGTGGTAGAACATGGATCAAGAAACATTTAATAATGTTTATTTCCAAGTTGTCAGGAATTTGATTCATGACTCTTCACTTTTCAAATTAGTAACATAAGGCCTCATTTTGGAACATTAAAAACCCGAGGTTGACTGCGATATGTTGATCTCCAAAACTGCTTCAAGTACTGTATCTACTGATAGGTGCAAGAAAATACTAAAGAATTTCTGAAATTCTACAAAAGACTGACTTTCAAGGCCTGAGGCAGTGACCAGCAGAAACTTGCCTAGTCCTGAGCATTTCTATGCTGACATAGTAAAGGCTTCTTGTGGATCTGCTTTGCAAAGCTGTCTCAGTTATTTTCATTTTAAAATACTCTTCTGCATCACAGGATTTATTAAATTAGGTAGGCAAGAATAATAGGAAAAAATTAGTGAGGCAAAGCGTATATGGAAGTATATTCATTGAGAAAAAATGTTAAAAGTAATTCTTACTTAAGTGCCTTCTTTTTTTCTTTTAACTAATAGAATTATGTAATTGTAGATTTCTCGTGTCATATAATTAATTATTGAAACGTTCTTGTACAAATGAGTGGTTTCATCCCTACAGGTGACTTTCGCCAGATCTTTTGTCAAATATGTCTCAAGGAAGAAGCTGGATCTGAAAAACCCTGCTTTATAAGCAAGTTGATGCTATGGGATGCAAGGCTTCATAAAGGTTTGTTTATCCATGTTGCTAAAAACGAAAGATTTGTCAAATTAATTTTTCACATGTGTAACATATAGATAAATGTGAGTGCTATGCATGTAGAATTACAGTTCTTTTTTTTTATTACAGTTTTTATACAGCTTCAATTTTTACAGCTGAGTTAACTTATATTTGGGATATATATTTGCCGCCTCAATTTGTCCTGCTTTATGTATCTTGAAAAATCTTTTTACAAAATGCAACCTGACCCTGAGTGACTTGATTACTTGATGTTTTAAATACATACCAATAAATGTCAAAACCCAAAAGTAATTAATAACTTTGTTCGTATGCTTCATAACCATTTGAAGACTTTCAATGATTTTTTTTAATCATAGTTTAGTAATTGGTTCCTGTTTTTCCACAAAATCTGCATCTTCGTACAACAATGTGACATGCATTGTATTGGCTCTTCGCAGGGGCGAGGAAGGTTCTTCATGAGCTTATCTTCAGTAGTTTTTTCATGGAAATGGAATACAAAAAACTTTTTGCTGTTGAATTTGTGAAGGTAAATGGTTTGATTTTTATGCTATGAATTTGTACTAACTTTATGAAATTCCCCCCAAAATGAAAATTGTTTCAGTATAAATAGGGAATTTTAAACAAGCACAACCTCAATAACTGTCTCAGCCTTTATTGGAGTGCAGTTAATTAATTCCCATATCACTGGTTTATTCCTTAGGATATGCTTGTTTGATTGCCATATTGTTATTATTGTGTATATTTTGAAATGCCAGATGAACTGCAACTGAAATTGGCCTTTCTTTTTGAAAATTTAATACAATAATTAAGAAATATACAAAACATAAAACAAAGTGTGTTTTGTTTTAGGGTGATACTTTTTAATTCTGATAAAGATGATTGATACTTTTTGATTTTCTCTGGACTGAAACAAAGCAAACAAAGACTTGCATTACCCATTGCACATGTCTTTTACAGACAGTTGTTGAACAACTATCCATGCAGTTCATTGCAAGAAATAATTCTGTTTGCAATCTGACAAATCAGTTATATTTGTGCTTATCTTCAGTATTAAGGCAGTGGGGGCCATACTGACTTGCTTTGGTGCATTGAGGATATTGTGCTGTTTTTCTTGGATCTGTTTCTATTAGGTGGGAGAGACACACTGAGATGTAATTCTTGTGAATAAAAAAGTAAACATTTTTGCTAGCATTTGTTTAACGTCCCCAATACTCTCTTCTTCTAGTATTACAAGGCATTGCAAAAGGAATACATCAGTGATGATCATGACAGAGTTCTCTCTGTGACAGCGCTCTCAGTTCAAATGTTCACTGTACCTACTCTGGTATGTACAGCTTGGCTCTGCTGGAGGTGTAAAATAAGTTGGAGAGTTGCTAGTAGTACCACCTCTGCAGATTGTTGTGTTTGGCAGGGAAACTTTAGCACTGCTGAGTTGAATATGAATGATTTTGAGATTTGTGAAAGCCAATATGAAAGCAGGAGCTTGAGTTGATGTGAAAATTCATTACAGAACATAGAGGGAGTGCAAGTAAGTGTAAGTTCCTGGCACATTGTACTCTGCATTAACTTTGTGTATTTATTTACTGCTCACATTTACCTGTCTATGTGACTTTCAAAACAGGGCAAGGGGGTAAAAAATGGTTAAGTGTCTTCTTGTGGGGGTGAAATATGGGGAGGAAGTATATCTATAACTTTTAAAAGTTATATGTTTCTTAGCTGAAGTACTAATGCAAAAATTCTTTTCTACATGATCTTTCTAGGAAAAAAATGGCATATCCATTATATAGATGCTGTCAGAATTGAACAAACATACATAGTTGTTGAACAAACTTTGTAGTTGATAGCAGTTGTGTTCCTGTGCAATAAATACTGTGGGAGTTTTTTTATCTTGTGCTCTTTGCAAATGCTTCAAAGAATTTTTAATGAGGAAGAGAGGGATTCAAAGGAAAAATACTTTGATGATAACATTAACAAAAACAGGAAGAAAAATATTTCACTTTGTTCTTGCAGGCCCGACATCTAATTGAAGAGCGAAATGTAATCACCATCATTACAGAGACACTCCTAGAAGTGCTTCCAGAGTACCTAGACAAAAATGACAAGTTCAACTTCCAAGGCTACAGTCAGGACAAACTGAACAGGGTATATTCAGTAATATTTGACCTCAGGTAAGTGTAAGGCTGAGAAGCTACAGCAGCTCAAAAATACTGGTAGCATGATGAGGTGTTTCAGTGCAGAGTCTGATGATTAAACTGCTTTAAAACCAAAGCCAAACCCCTCAAAAAAACATACATAATATCTTAACGTTTTCTTTTCAATGGAAATTTAAAATTTTAAAATACTGAAATTACATTCTGTAAAAACATTTTTTATTTTCAATTATCAAATTGTATATAATATTTACATTAATAAATAAAATGTATCTACTCTTAAGACAGTATGGGAAATTTATCTCTCATTTGCTGCTATTCTGGGAAAGCTGTATAATCCTTATCTGCATAGGGTTTTCTATTTTACTGGTACCAAATTGCTCTAATAAAGTGAGTAATGTTTATTACTCCGTTTATTACACCCCAAACACCTTGGAATTAAAAAAAAAACCTGTTAATTTCCAATGATGGAGTCACAGCAAGGTATTAGTAGTTCTAGTATTTGGGAAAATTTTCTGAGTACTTTAAGATGAGGAGGGTGATGAAATTTGATTATGTAATTGATGATATTAAAACAATTGAATTTCAACAACTCTTGGCGTACAAGCATAAGAGAAGTCTGAGCAAAGTATGAAAATTTTTTCTTTTTTTTTTTTTTTGGGACAGGTATATCTTAGTCAGCAAACCTGCAGTATGGACAGACCATCTGAGGGAGCGTTTTTTAGAAGGATTTGTTTCTTTCCTAAGGATTCTAACTTGCATGCAGGTACAATATATTTAAATAATTTCTTTCTGATATCCTGTTGTAAAGTGATCACAGCTCCTCTTTTTCCCATAATATTATAATGGATGTAAACATGCAATTACACTGTTGAATTCTTCAGTCCCTGTTTTGGGTGGGTGAAGAAGACCTGTTTATACAAGTAATACTCATCAGATTTAGTTACATATGTTTTATCTTTTGACTGTGGAATTTTCTGTTGTATTAAGCCTGTGATCACTGATTTAGGCAAAGTATTTTGTGGGATTTCTATTTCAGGGAATGGAGGAGATAAAAAGACAGATTGGTCAGCACATTGAGGTAGACCCTGACTGGGAAGCAGCTATTGCCATACAGATGCAGCTCAAGAACATTCTGTTGATGTTTCAGGAGTGGTGTGCCTGTGATGTAAGTATATAAATTTTCTGTGATTCTTGCCTGTATACCTTTTTGGAATCTTCCTGACAGCTTTTGAAATAGCAGCTTTTAGAAAAGCTCACAATTGTTCAATATTGCTTTCCACAAAAAAATTGGTCTGAAGGAATTAATCTGGGTGTGACAAAGAGAGAAAGGAAGGACTGTAGGATTTTTTTTTATTCTGCATGTATTTTTAATTCTAGGAAGAGCTGCTGCTCAGGTCTTACAGAGAATGCCATAAAGCTGTGATGAGGTGCAGCACAAACGGCCGCTCTCGGGAGAAAACAGTGTTTCACTTATGTGGCCATACCCTGGAGAGCAGACCTTACAGAGTGTCTGCAGATCCTGTCAGCATACATTTGCCACTGTCTAGGACTCTTGCTGGTAAGTGATGTGTTTTGATTGCTGTTTAAACCATGCTTGTCATCCATCTCTGTTTCTTTACTCCAGAAAACATTTGGGTTAAGTGCTTCACAGATGAGTTGGTCTCTGACTTAGTGACATTCTCATGATCAGGAAGACACGTTCCCCATATGTGCCACTAATGGAAAGTTTTTCTCAAAACAACATTATCATGGAGGTTGGAGGATGTCTTTTTAAATGAAAGACAGAGAAGTCAGTCAAGAAGGAAAAAAAATCCTTGTTAATGAGATCCTTAGTTTTCTCTGAAGTGTTTCTTATTCTGTTTCTATCTCCTTTATTGAAACGAATGTCCATTATTGTTTATCTTGAATTTAGTTTCCAGCCATATATATCCTAGGATGGTTAAAATGTTCCCCCTGAAAGACATATTTTGCACAACGCCAGGACAGGCTTCCAGTCAGAATACAATCACTGCTTTCTATAGAATACAAATGAAATCATATGCTATTATTAAGCTGTAGATTCTTTATCACATCATTGGATACCAGGATACCATCTGTTAATCCTTGTAGTCTTGAAATTAATTTACTACTGATAATATGGTTCAAATATGAAATAAAAATTTTATTTATTGTATATTATATAGCATCTCAATTTGGATGGGGTTCACTCATTCATTTAGTATAAATTTGTTAATAAAATAATGGTTTGTAAGCCTAGTAAGACCTGTTGTGATTAAAAAAAGGAAAGTATGAAGTCTTTCCTAAACAAACTTAGACTTTTTTTTCTATAATTCTCTGAATTGTAAATGATTTAGCTGACATTTAGAAGGGGTTGGAGAACCTTCACTGATTTTGATTTATTTTCTGATTTTTCTTCCTTGGTTTTGTAGGTCTTCATGTACGATTAAGCAAGACCGGAGCCATCTCAAGATTGCACGAGTTTGTTTCTCCTGTAAGATACTTCTTTTTTTTCTCCAAATGCTTTTATGATTTATACTCTGGAAAGAAAAAAGCCTCAATCTATATGCTCTAACCTTCATGAAACGCATACAAGTTATTTTTCAGCTGTCAATACATCTGTTCTTTAGGACTTACACTTTTAAAACCACTGGCAGATTTATTCTGAGGTGGTTTTTTTGTTTATTTTTCCTTTTTGAAATTCTAGGAAGAATTTCAAGTGGAGCTGCTAGTAGAATATCCTTTGCGGTGTCTTGTCCTGGTTGCACAGGTTGCTGCAGAGATGTGGAGGAGGAATGGGCTCTCCCTGATAAGCCAGGTACTCCCTGCAGTGTTCAGTGCTAAGTGTTTGCAAGGGTTGCTCAGTAATGCTGCCAGGGGTTCATCCAGTGCAGAGAGAGGTCATGGGGTCACTCCTACAGTAACTAGAAAGTTTCTGAGTGGAAATTTAGGTCACATGGTTTTATTTCTATCTTCAGCAATAGCTTACCTCCTTGTCTTAGAGGAGTATTTTCATCTCTGCTGTGACTCTTTATTCTACTCTGTCAAATAGTATAATGGTGGTGATGTCTACTTGTAAGCTACTTTCAGATCCCATAATCACTGCCAAAGTACTTGTTGAACTCTTGCTTATAGCCTAAAAAGTTAGAAGTTCCTCATGGTGTATGGACATTATTATATACAGAAGTGAAACTATTAGTCTCACACTAAACATTTGACAACCCTATAGCTAAACATACAAACATTTTCTAATACTTGTTACTTCTGTTGCAAGAGTAAAGGTAAAGGGAAGAGTCTGCCTTTGCATTTACTTCCTTTGGCTTCACTTTGGGGTGGTTTTGATTTTGTTGTCTGGTTTTATTGGTTGTTTGGTTTTGGGTGGGGGTTTTTTTGTTTGTTTGGGGTTTTTTTGTTTGTTTTTATTCCCTTTGATGACAGAAGTTCTCTGCTAACCTTGCACAAGACCCTTTGATGAAATCAAAGTAAATCTTGGTAACCCCCTGCAGAATTGTCTTTCTGAGAACTGGGGTAGGAGAAGGAGGATGTTTTGACTTAATTCAGAAGCAGCCATTGGAGTTATGTCCTCTTGGAAGGGGGTGTGAAGTATGGCATAGACTTTTTCTGGAGAAGTGAAAGAACATTTTTCACTTCCATTAAAGTACATATTTATTTTGAAAGAAATGTGGACTTTCTTTAACTCAGTAAAGATGTGGTACAGTTTGAAAGGCCTCAGAGATTAACTGATGTACATTACTTTATAGCTCTCATTTGTTTTTGCGTTTCTTAGGTATTCTATTATCAAGATGTTAAATGCAGAGAAGAGATGTATGATAAAGACATCATCATGCTCCAGGTACAATGTTCTGAATCACTGCTTACTTGTCATTTTAAAAAGTTCAGTTTAATTTTCATTGATTTTGAAATAGCAAGTGATGTTCATATTAATTTGGGTTTTTTGATAGATAGGTGCATCTCTTATGGATCCAAACCAGTTTCTCCTGCTGATACTGCAGAGATATGAGCTTGCTGATGCTTTCAAAAAGATCAAACCCACCAAAGATCAGGTAAGTAGCAAATTTTTCTGCTGTTTAATTTGTCAGCTTTGAGTATATGAAACATCAGTAAGAAAAACTAGCTACTGTTGATAACTGCATTTTTAAGGCCACACTAGAAGTCAGTAAACACAGGAGCTTGTGGTTAGGTAAATATTGTGGAATTTGTGGAGGCTTCCTCAAAATTAGCAAGCAAGTTTTGCCCCTTTTGGACCTTTATTTTGGACCTATAGAGACTTGTCTCCACAGGGCATCTACCAAAATCCATATAAAATGACTTTGCTATGGCATTTCTATTCTCTTAAGCCATGTTCTGTGCTTTTATTTTGGTTGGAAGTTTCTGGGGTTGTTATGCTTCTTCTTGTGGCTTGAACTTTGATATAACCCTTCATTTGGGATACATTTTTTATCTGTTTCTTTTCTTGCGTGTGAATTTTGCACTTCAGTTGCTGTATAATATCTCTTTCGCCAGAGCAGACACTTCTTCCAGCTTGTTAGAATGGAAATTTCTTCCTAAAGTACAGTGTTTTATCAGTATAGTAAGTATGAAGGCTGAGCTCAGTGTCATTTGGTGGATGGATTTTCTTGCACTTCTGTTTTTGTTTTTTTAACCTGATTTCTCTCATTCTTGCAGGATTTGATTAAGCAATATAATGTTTTAATAGAAGAGATGTTACAGATTCTCATCTATGTTGTGGGTAAGTTTCATTTCTCTGTGTTGTTGTAGTAATGGAGGATTGCTTTGACATAGCAGGCTTGATGATTTTGTTAGACATAGTATAGAGAGGATACTGAGGAATATCTCTTTTAAATAGATGATGCAGTATCACAACTGTTTGTGAGATGGAAACAATAGGAGTCGGACAGTGAAAAAAGCTGTTAGATAGCTTCATAATTGATGTTAAAGTAGAATATGAAGAGAGTCCATCTTGACCCATGTTGTTAGGAATCTAGGCTGAGAATCATTTTTACTCAGACACTTGGGACAGGCTTCTGACAAATGCAAGCTTATACAATGAAACATCCCAGCAATACCATTATGGTGAAAAATTCAATTTCACTTCATACCTGTCATATTTGCCATTCCTCTCCTTTTGGTTCGTTCTGACAGGGGAAAGATACGTGCCTGGAATCAGTAATGTGACAAAAGAGGATGTAATAATGAGAGAAATCATCCATCTGTTGTGCATTGAACCAATGGCTCACAGTGCAATTACCAAGTCCTTGCCTGAAAACGTGAGTCCTGATTTATTTACTTTTTTTCCCTGATTAACTTTTTCTTGTTTTATGTCTTTCTTCTTTAGCTTTCATATCCTTATATGGAAGCATTTCTAATATAAAGCCTAAATGTTGGTTTGAGAATTACAAAATGGCATGCCAAAGAGGCTTACACACCTTACTGATGTAAAGGTAAATGTAATAGATTCAAGTATGGGCTGATCTGGAAAGACTTGTATGGGAATTAGACTTTTTGTTTAAGAGGTGAATTTTTTGTAGAATATTCAACTGTAGTTCTCCTAGGTTCAAAAATAAACGTGAAATTTTCTGGTTTGGCCCTGTAGGGTGATGGAGCTGGATTCCATTCTGGCCTGCATACCACTGATAAATTTAAGCCTGTAATTTTGATGACTTAAACCTATGCAGATCCATTTGAAGTCAAGTATTGTTCATGTCTATTTGAAAACAAAGACTTCTTGACATCCCATTACAATTGTGGAAGATTGAAGCAAAGGCAAGGGATGTAGATTAGATTTTATAGTCTGGAAGTGTTCAGGGCCAGCAATCAATGCAAAAACCCTAAATTTTTGTTGTAAATGAAATAGCCTTAATTATTATCATAGTATCCACAGTCACTGTTTAAAATATCCAAACCTCTTTTATTCCCTTTGTTAAGGCTGGGTAAGCAATGACCTGTTTCTAGAGATCAGCTCTGTTATTAATGAGGTTCTACATGATTAAGTGAAAGTATGATGTCTCTTTGATACTTCCTTGGAAAATGCCAGTTATGAATATCTGCTTTCTGATTAACAGCGGGCAAAAGATAATAGTTCATGAATTAGGGAATTATCTAAATTTGTCTATTTTTGTTACACATAGCATAATACTGAAGATACTTGAATCATTATATGTTTATCCCAAACTAAATTTTTTACCAGGAGAACAATGAAACTGGCTTGGAGAATGTAATTGATAAAGTGGCTACGTTCAAGTAAGTTCTTAATGTTGTTTTATAAATAGCTTGAAAGTGAAATAAAATTTCTTAAATACATGTGGGTTAAACAGTATGAACAAGAGTCTCTGTTCAGCTTATATTTTGCTATCTTGAAGTAAATATATTTGCAAATATGCTTAGGAAAGAACAGTGTGTGAATATCCTACACTGCTGCTGTTTCTTTCCCTTTGCCACCCTCTTTCTTCAAATTTGGGTTGAGGAGTCTTGGGAGTTCAGTAATCTCAAGTCCAAGTGGGAGAATCTTTGAAAGTTCATTTTTTTTCCTAAGATAGAAATTTAAGAAGTCATTGTACCTTTGACAATCACTATCTAGTAACTGTTATGTTACTTAGTTGCTAATTTTCTGCAACTTACCCTTTTTTCTGGAAATTAATTTAATATATAAATATATATGTTTGTGTGTATGCAAGTATAGAACAATAGATTGTAGTTGAACAAAACCAGTGCAAATGTCTGCTACTTTTGGGAGAAAAATGTCTTATTTTAGTATACCTTATTTTAAATTTCATGTGGTTTGCTTGTTCATGTTCAGTTAAGAGCAACTGTAAGTGTACCTGGGAATCTTACTTGGGGAGTTATATGAACAGTTAAAAAAATCTCACTGGCTGGAAAGCAGCAAGTAGTACTTGTTTTATACTTTGGTTAAAGAAAGGATTGAATTTTATGCAGCAATGTCCAATGTCTGAAATTCTAAGCCACGCAGTTAAAAAGAATTTTCAGAGGCTATTCGGTGTGCTTTAGATGGTATAGACTAGAAATATTTTGCTGCTGAATTGTTTACTCCTGTAAATCCTGTATTGAAAATTTAAGGGTCCTAACTGTGCTCACTCTCTGCTTTTAATAAATTAATGAGTAGCCATTATAATTCCTGCTTCTGTAGAAAACAAAATGTGTTTGCCTTTAAAGATGTGCTGAATGTATATTAATAATCTGTATATTATGAAATATTTCTCTGTAAGGAAACCGGGTGTCTCTGGTCATGGAGTTTATGAACTGAAAGATGAATGTTTGAAGGAATTCAATGTGTTCTTTTATCACTACACTAAGACCCAGCACAGCAAGGTAAGCAGTGTAAGATTCACTCTAAAAGGTTAAAAAAATAGTACATACTTACCAGTATTTAAAGAATTTTGCTGAATTAATGCAATCTAAAGAAATTGGTTCAGTAAAGAGTGTCTGCAGCTACCCTTGAAACTAAATGTTCCATGAAATTAAAGTTTTCAATGCAAATCCACATGGTGTGGTTTTCATTTGTGTTTCCTTTTTGGCACCTTGTGTATTTACTCTGTTAACTCTCTATGCTGAGATCAAAATGTGATAGGAATTACCTTTGTACTGGGAACCCCCAAATTTTGTTTTTATAACTCTTACTGAGGAAGCAAATATGTCCAATTATTTATCTTTATTACAAATTTAAATTCAAAACATAACGTTAAACATGTTTCAGACAAAATTCTAGTTCAAAACCAGGAATTTACTGGTATCTCTATCTATCTCATCATATTTCTATTGTAGGGTTTCTCATAATTTCATTAATCTCATGATTGTGTACTTCTGTAGAGGTACTGATACAGCAACACTCCTTTTTCTGTAGGCTGAACATACACAAAAGAAAAGAAGAAAACAAGAAAACAGAGATGAAGGTAAAATTCTAAAATTAATGATTCAACAAATGTGCTAATTGATAGTATATGTAGTTGTATATATATACTGAGCTTTGGGAGATGTCTTGTGACTTCACAGTGGATAGGTTCACATTAAATTTGTTGTGATTTGTAGTAATTGTCATTATTTAGCACCTGGCATTTCTTTTGTTTTTTTCTTTATCATGGACAGGAATTCTGGAATTTTTAGTTTACGTTTAGGGAAATAGACATGGCACTGTACCTATTGACAAACCCATGAACTTGGAAATTTTATGGTGGAGTAACTAAGAGGCAAAAGTTGTGGTGTTTTTTGTGAGCAGTTTCTTTAGACAATATTGAGACATAATAGTGGCATGTAGAGAAGGTTGCCACAGGAAATAATGCTCATATCCATTCTGTAATAGGAGAATGAGACTTAACTTTTAGAAATAATTTTTTATAAGCTATGAATACATAAAACAATGAACCCCTCTGTTTCTATTGTAATACAAATATTAATTCCCTTTTGCGTTTACATTTACCCATTCAAGTCACAAGCATTTAATTGAGTTGATTTGAGGAAGACATGATAAGCTGAACAAACAAATACAGTGAACAATTTAATAAACTCAACTTTGCTCCTTCCCCTTTCAATCTGGCAGCTTAAAATGTTATCAGGGGAATTATTTTGTGGAAATTTAAAAAAATGTGGTTATTTAGATGTAATTGTCAGAGACTCATGTGATTGGACAGTACGGTTCCAAAATACCAAGGTATCTGTTTATCCTGATTTGTGTTCTCCTGAGGCTGCATTTATTGTTGCAGGTACTTCCTGTGTATTCTTTTATGTGGCTATGTTGTCTTTGTCAGTAACTTCATTCAGCCAAAATTGTCTAAAGAATGGTGGTTTCAGAAACACTGCATTCACAGAAGTCCTCTGAAAAAAGGCAATCTGAAAATAGTCATCCAGGTACCTGAAGAAGACTGGAGTCAGTGTTTCCTGGTAGGGAGAGGCTGTGGCATTAAATGAGGTGCTGTCAGTAGATGCCAAGATTCCACATCAGAGTTCCAGTATTAAGTCAGCAAATGTACATAACCAGAAATGACTGGAATGCCAGTAGCAGAAAAAATTTAGAGCTCCATGGATGTAATATTGTGGTGTGGGACACTACAGTCTGGAAACTTCACTCCTCAGTTTTGTTTACTTGAAAACCTTTTATCTGATGCAAAGCACAAACTGTATATTTAATAGTGAGACATAAATCAGGCAGTTCAGAGTGTTAAAAATTTGTGTTTACAGATGTAACTAATACTTGTGATCGATTAACTTAGCTTGTACATGTTTTTTATGTAAGGACTTACTAAAAGTACTCTAGTTTTGCCAAAGGTGAAAGTTGACTTAGGCACACAATCGTGTTTGAGCATGGTTTTACTCATTTAAAGGTCCAGTTTTTCTTTCACTGAAATTAATATGTTTGTGCTCTCTACTTCTGGGTGGGATGTCAGTTCATTGATATGTTTGCACACCTGTTTCCTAGCATTGCCACCACCTCCTCCTCCAGACTTCAGTCCTGCATTCAGCAACGTGGTGAGGATTCTGAACTGCGATGTCATGATGCACATCCTGCGCACCCTCCTGCAGAGGGCAGTGGAGCTGGAAACCCACTTGTGGACTGAGGCAATGGTCCAAATGGTAGGGTTAGCCTTGGTCATCTTCCCATGGTCTCTCCTGTGCTGACTGCTTATGAGAAGACCAAAATATGTAAAGATTAACTTGGAATGATTTTGTCCCCAAACCTGTTTTTATAAATGTTACTGGCAAAGAAAATATTTTTATTATTAATTATCTATCTCTTCTGTAAAATAGAAACATGATGCATAACAGTATTAAAGCTTTCTATTTTACTTTCCTCCCTGTGTGGCCTCATTGCGGAAGCTGTTTAAATATGTAATCCTCCCTGCCTCATATTTTTACTGCAACTTAATGAGTAACTGTTTGATAATTGGAATTCCTTCATTTTTTGAGCTGCAGAGTCTCCAAATACATGAGGCCTCTTTGGGGCCTCAGTCATGAAATAATAGAATTTTTGTAAGTATTTAAACATTTAATTTTACTGCAGTGGCTTGAGTCTTTTAAAACATTGTTGAGATGTTCTTTGGAGGCGATTTTTTGTTTGTTTATTTTAGCAGGGTTTTTTTTTAACATTTATAGAATTAGGACCTGACATTATAGACAGTCTGAATTAATCAGTTTTGCTAGAATGTATAGATTGTTTAATTGCCTTGCCAATCCTGCTAATCTTTGGATTATGGAATTTGCCAAGTACAGATTTTGTATCAGCAGACGGACAAGATTTCACATATTACTAATATAAAAGCATGTGCAAGCTGATGAATTTTAGTGCAACTAATATGCAGTAAATTTGCATTGTAGTTTTTTTATTTCACTTTCCATGTATGATCTCTGTATTTTCATGTGTTTCATCATTATGTAATACAGAACCGTATTAAGCATCCTTATCTTTTATGCCAGTTTTCCATATCTTAAACATTGAATGAGACTTACTATTTTTCTCTTTTTTCAGGTTCTTCATCTTCTTTCTTTAGGGTTACTAGAAGAGAAGCAGCAGTTACAGAAGTCTCCTGAAGAAGAAGTAACCTTTGATTTTTATCACAAAGCAACACGTATGTTTCATTTTCTTTAAACCACAGAGTAAATTAGACTAACTTGATCTTGTAAGGACTCAAATAAACTAGAAGAAATCATTCAGTGATTTAGTCAGAAAGGTTTTATTTTATGCTATATAATTAAAACTTGGTAATTTAACTTTTTTAATAATTAGGAAACCAGGTTTGGAGTAGCTTCCTCTGTTCCCAGTTGTCAGGTGGGTTGAAGAGGATATGTGCTTCTCTTCCTGGGAAAGAAATGAAAAGTAGTTCTAGTGTTACATAATTGAAAGTGGTTTTTCCTTCACAAGAACTGCATTGAAATGGAAACTTAAGAACTCTTTGAAAAATGGCAGTGGATTTAAGTGAACTGTGTCCATCTTTGGTTCTCTCGAGCTGTACAATTAGTGATTTGCTTGGAAGTTAGTCTTTTACTATGGTAATGAAAATAGAAACAGAATGTAGTGGCTCTGGATTGTAGCCTTTCCTCTCTATTGAGCATTTCTTAATATTACATTCAGGACTACTCTGTGGGAGTTGGAATCTGCATTTTCTAAATAATCTTCCATCTTCTCTAGAGTTTCTGCTTCACTGTGTAAAAATAAATTTAAAAAATCCGTTATCAAGCTAAACATAACTGTCATTTGTGAGATGCAACAGAGATAAGAATTGTGAAGTCATAGAATCATAGAATTGTTCATATTGGAAAAGACCTCCAAGATCATTGAGTCCAAATGTTAAGTCAGCACTGCCAAGTGCACCACTAAACCATGTTCCTAAACATCATATCTATGTATATTTCAAATACCTTCTACAAGAATAAATACATAAAACTACTGAAGTCCCTTTATTTAGTTCTTTAAAAATTTTGTGTTTGAAAAGCACTCCCAATGCACTTTATTTTTAATTTTTTCTTATTGTTGAGAAAGAAGTGTCATCATACTGAAAGTGTTAAGAAGCTTCATGTCAGAAGTAATAATTATAACTGAGATGCTAGAGAATGCTTTGCTAGCTTTAGTTTTGCACAACCAGAAAAATGAAATCCTGATTTACATGAAAGGGATGCAAAAATAATCAGTATTTTTGTAACAAAGCTCTTATCGAGACACAATTCATTAAAAGATAGTTTCTTTAGCAATGTATTTGTCTCCCTACTACAAATTTAAAATTAATTCTTTATGGTAAGTGCTGCAGAAGAAATATCATTGAACAGAATGGTCTCCATTTTAAAGCATTCTTTTGTTAGAGAAGAGCCTAGAATACTATGGACTCTCACTGAGTTGTGAGGAAGAAAATAATTACTGTAATTACAATAGCTTTTGTGATTAGAAGTGAACGTGTACACACTAAGCTGTTAGCAAACATAGGTAAGCTCTAAAGAGCTTTACTGCTTCCTCCTGAAGTGAAAGGCGATTCTTTTTTAAGCAGATATTAAGCAAAGATTTTCTAAAGCAGAAATAATTGATCTACAAGGGGATAAATTATACTATACATAACTGGAATAAACAGATGAAACTGTAACCAAAATGTAACTACACAGGTTGTGTTCATGTATGTATATTGTATAGTCAGCAATATTTAAAGGCATGTCCATGGCTGTAAGTACATTAAAATGTTAGGCCTTTTTTTTCCCTGAATGCCCTTTTCTATTTTTCACTTTGTAAAGGAATGGGAAGCTCAGCCTTGAATGCTGTGAATGTGTTAATGCTTGTGGAGAAATTGAAGAGAGTTCCCCAGTTAGAGGCACAGAAGGACACAGTCAATTGGATACTGCAGGTACACAAAGGAGATATAAGTACAAGCTGATTTCAGTTGCGTAGAAAGTTAATGTGAAAGATGTTATGATTCCTATATACAGTTCCTACATATAATCCGTTTACAGCTGCAGTGATTTCTTGAGAAGTTTAATCTGTTGCAGCATTGTACTTGCTGCTTGTACTATGAAGTATTGGATCAATTTTTGCTCAGGTAACTCATTCCAGTAATGTCATTTTTACGCACATTCCTCATATATCTGTTGCCCAATAACAGCAAATAATGAGTAAGGCAGTGTTCTGGGAGCGCACATAGAGTCTTGGGTTTTTCTGTTATTTAGGAGTTTTGAGTGGTTGAATCCATTTGAAAATCTGAAAATAACATGAAACGAAATACCAAAAGTTTTAATCCTGTCCATCATAGAATGGATTGAGTTGGAAGGGACCTTAAAAGTAATGTAGCTCAAAGCCTCCGCCATGGGTAGGGACACCTTCCAATAGACCAGAGTGCCTACAAGTCCAGGCAGAACTTGAACACTTCCAGCATCCACAAATTCTCTGGGCAGCCTGTTGCAGTAACATTGGAAATGTATTAATTTACATTGTTATAAGAGCCAAATTGTGTTTTATTTTTAACATCTGAGTTTCTGTTTTTAGATGTTTGACATGGTGAAGAGATTGAGAGAAAAGTCTAGTTTGGCAACAGTAGGAGCTACATCAGGCTCAGAAGCTACAAAAGGTGATGAGGTAATGATAAAAATAAAGCTTCGGTAGAAGCCTTGTATTTAAATGTTTTGAATAGCTATTTTCAGTGATGTGTCTAAATTTATTGTTGCCTAAAATGATAATTTTTCAAAAAACTGATCTGTGATATGTTGTGTACAGATAGGATTTAGTTTCCAAGATTAATATTTTTAGTACATGAAATTTGTGCTAAACATGTTTCATGGAATTATTAGCAGCTATTGTGAGAGGCTGTACTTCTGAGTTAAATGAAGCAATTGACGGGGCCGAAGGAAATAATTTGTGCTCATCTTTCCATTTCTTGTCTTTGTGAATTGACCACCTTTTTTTTATACTGTCACTGCACAATAATTAGAAATGCAAATCCACTTTAGATGATGTCTTGTAGTTTATGTTATCTGTCAAGAGGTTAATGTCCTTTGTCCTGATTGTATAAATGCATGAGCCTTAAGCAATTATTCTGACTGTCAGTTTCTTTGCCCTTCCCTCAAAATAACTTCTGAATCTTGTGGTCAAATGACACAATGAAATGGAGATTTCAAAGATGACTTCAGTCCTAAGGAGTGGCTGTGTTTTCAATTGACATTTGAACAGAAAAGAAGAATCTGATTACCCTTAGGCAGTAGGTGAAGACAGACTGGTTTGCTCTTAGACGTTTTGTTTGGCCTTAGTTTGCTGCCAAGCAATCTCTTGGCTGGTCATTGCATGCCTAGTTCTAAACTTACCACACAGCATATGCCGTGTCTCTGTTTTCAGGCAGGTGTCATATGGGATTTGGTAAGGTACCAAACAAAATACAGTAGTCCATAAGAAATTAATCTCTTTCAGTTCTACTTGTGGAGCAAGTTGTTTGATTTCCTGGAAAAGTCATGGTACTGTGAATGGAAACCTTGTGTATAACGTTACATTTGTCCCTTAAGTAATTGGATAGGAAGAGTTCGGTTCTATATGTTTTAATAAAGTCTATCTGTGTTTTTTGAATTCTGGATTTCTAAAGCATGGAAATTTTTTTTTATGGTTTCTGAAAATATGATGCAAGAGTAAATGTTGGAAGAACAATAGCTTTCCAGTGTACCATAAAGAATAATAAAAATACAATAGACAGATGTATAAAATGCTGACACATTTTGTTGTGTCATGGATAGGCAGTTCATGATGAAATTTTCTTCAATTTCTGTAAGGAAGATACTGAATACTCAGTAGGGTTTCACTTATGGGGAGAATAACAGAACTCTGGAGAAAACTTTGATGTACACCTCACTAAAATTTCTTAAGAACAGACAAGTACCTAACTGAAATGACTCAGAGATTTTTGATCTTATCTTTGGACTAGGGATTGTAGTAGTGACCTCTTCTAGACCCCAAGAGTCTGTCCAGTCAACATGTAAAGATTTGAGTTCTGTTCATTTCTGTTTCAGATAGCAGTTAACTTTTTTCCCCTCATTAAAGTGTTGTCAGTTAAGAGAATTTGATGTCGGTGGTTAAAATGCGTATACTGGGGAAAGAGTCTTCTCATTTTTTGATGTTCTTAGTTGCCTGTGATTTCTTTATTCTCTTACTGTAAGACACAGAGCACTCAGGATAAAGAGAAAGCTGAGCGGAAGAGGAAGGCGGAAGCAGCGAGGTTGCACCGTCAGAAGATAATGGCCCAGATGTCTGCCCTGCAGAGGAATTTCATTGAAACCCACAAGCTCCTGTATGAAAACACACTGGAGGCCCAGGGGAAAGATGATGCTATTATGGAAGAAGAAAGGTAAGAGAAAACAGACTTACTTGTAGTCTATGACCTTGTTAGATGTCAGGAAGAACTCAGTTCATTTAGAAAATCCAGCTGGTTATTTTATATCTTTGTCCCTTCTGGTCTTACAGCACCTCTTCAGCAATTGATTACTCCAGAATTGCTTTGGGTCCCAAACGAGGTCCATCTGTCATTGAGAAGGAAGTTTTGACCTGTATTCTTTGTCAGGAGGAACAGGAAGTAAAGTTTGAAAGTGCTGCCATGGTATTATCTGCCTGTGTGCAGAAGTCAACTGCCTTAACTCAGAATAGGAGCAGAATTCTTGAACTCTCAGGAGGTATGAGATTTTTTCTTCTCTTATAGTAAAAGCACTTCTGTACCTGGAGCTCAAACTCCTTCAACAACTAAACTCTTTTCTTTGATCAGGTTGCTAATGGGCTTATTGTACTTAAGAAAAATGGATGCAAACTTCTAAATTGCTTTAAAATTCATGTCAAATTTAAGTGAGAAGTATATGAAGATTTAGGTTTGTTGGTGAGGGAAATCAGAAAATGCTTTGATCTCACAAGACTTAATAAAACATGTAGATTTAGTGGGAGTAGTTAGTTTGGAGAAAAGCTAAGACTGTTTACAGTTCTGTTTATTCAAGTACAAGTGCAAATTTTCCCAATATGGAGGAAATAAATGAATGTTATCAGAGGCCAGTATGCCAACCTGAAAAGGGTTAGGGTGTTTGGTTTGGTTTGGGTATGTTTTCCTCTTATAAGTCCAGGAAATAATAAAAACAACAGTATAAAGAATGATAAAAATCTAAGCAAGGATCACATGATATCATCTGATGAGTGAACAAAAAATTGAATACAAGAAAGTTATGCAATCACGAGAGTTACATTTGTGTAATAGCATATTGGTAGCAGGGAACACAAAGCCCAGCAGAATTTCTTTTGTAAGTAGCAGCTGACTAAACATGATGGAAATTTTGGTCTGTTACTACTTAAGGGAAAGAAGAAAATAAATACAAGGATATGGGAGAACCTAAGCATTCACTGACATTTTTGTTCTCTTTTTGAAAAGGGACGTTAGTAATGTTTCAAGAAAGATGCTGTCACAACTTGTAAATTAAATTCCTTCTTATTGTCAGATGTGGGGGTGGTTTTTTGTGGTTTGTGGTCAGCTTATAGATCAAAATGAATGCTATGTCCTATTTTTTTTAATTGACACTAATATGTAGAAAATAGCTTTAAATTATGTTTGTGCAGTTCATTATTCCTGCTTTAGTTCAGAAGCAATCAAACTCTTGATTGTTACCAGAGGAAAGTTCATAATATTTTTCATATTTCTCCATGGTATTACCCTATTTTTTATCATGCTTGTAAACGTTTTCCAAGCTGTTTCACTAATAAGATATTTTGGTTTTTTTCCTCTGGGTCATTAAAAAGTACTGAATTGTCATAGGCCTAGAACAAACTCCTTCAGAATCCTGCTTCATCCATTTTTCTTTATCAGCAAACTACTGGTAATGGCATTTTTGAGACAGTTGTATAGATTTTTTTTATCTAGGTCATATACTAAATACATTTCTTTTTTCTGTGGTACTCTGAAGTACAGATTAAGTCCTACAAGATACACTTGTATATTTTCTGTAGTGGCATGTTGAGCTATTGAAATAATTGAAAAAAGAAGGGAATGGAGTTCCTTTTTCTGAGGCTGTTTTTGGGCATTGTTTATAGTATTTATAATGCACGGTCCTCTGCTGCTGATCAGTTACCAGGAATCCTCTAAGGGCTTTTTTCTTTCAAGATCTAAATAAATGTAAAAATGCTTGTTCCGCCAGCAGAAGTGCAGATAGTGGCAATTCAGTGTTATGCCGAGGTTTACTTTCTTATTTCAGTCTCCATTTAACTTAGGGCAACTTCAGCTGCTGCCAAACAGACAGTGCAAGTTAGGTTATCTTATTTTCAGTGCACGTTAGGTTCTTTTTATCTTTCAGTTTGTTAGATACAAGTGTGTTTGCTCAAAATCATGAACAGTCCCCCAGATGAGGCATGAAGGACTGCTGTTGTTCAGTATTATTTAGAAAGTGAAAGTGGGATCCCACTTTGGGTGCACATACAACACAAAGACATCAGTATATTCTCATAATATTTCTATTGTTTAGGATTGTGCAAGATTAGTAAAAGACAGACTTGATTTTTGTTATTCAGCAGTGCTTTTTGTGTTAGTGTTTTGAAAATATGTGGGATTAGTTGGATAAATTATTCATCCTACTTGTCCTTAGTAGTTTCATTTTCATTTAAAAATAAAGTAAAAGCTTCAGTGACAGTGAATCCAGCCGCAGATCTGTTCCAGTACAGAAGTACCCTTTTTTCTTCCTAACCAATTTGAAATTTAACATCTTTTTCTTTATATGGAGAACCTTCAGTAGTTTAAATGGGTATTTCTTGTCATTGCTCTGCTGCATGATTGGTCTGGAAAAGTTAGCCAAGTGAAGCTTTAGTATGACTGTGCAAACTGTAGGAAAATAAGATCTGAAGGTTCATGTTCTGTTTATATTGTTGATTTCTGTTCATACTGATGGGAAGTTACATTACTGTTCATTCCATAATTTTTCTGCTGTGTGTTTCTAGATACACTAGATCCTCTCTTCATGCACCCTGACTTACCTTGTGGGACCCACACAGGGAGCTGTGGTCATGTAATGCATGCGGCCTGCTGGCAGAAGTAAGGATGTGTCTTTGCTGCCTTTTAATGGTTTTTAATTAATCTATTTTCCAAATCACCTTAAGAGTACACTGAAAACAAGGTACAGTAAGTGGATATTTAATTAAGGGATCAAAATTTTTTATACTCGTCTAAAAATGAAATATGGAACAAGAGATGTTTTGACTTGATGAAGATAATCATTGTCAAAAGTTTTAGGGCCTTTTATGACGCAGAGAAGAATTTCTAAGGACGTATTAATTTATGCAAATATAAACAATGGAGTAAAATTGGTCAAGTGTAAGAAACTATATTGAGAAGGTTTACTTTTAGCAACAGTACTCTACAAGTTTCTCTCCAGGTCAATACTTCAAGGGTGAAACTGATCTATTCTAGTGTGTGTTTAGAAGAGATTCTAGCATCTAGAACAGAATATGAGGAATATCAGTGGTTAAATCTTGTGACTCCTCCCATATCAGTGAAGAAACTCTTAATAAAAAGTAAGGGTGTAGAATTGATGCAATTGCTGTAGACTTGATTGGATTTCTGTTGTTTGAGGGACCCACAATTCAGACCAAGTGTTTTGGATTTGAATGGAACCTGGACATTAAAAGACCAAGGTTCCTGGCTTGTGGGATACAATCATCCTACGTTTCACTCCACATAGGTCTGGCAAGTCTAAACTATGTAAGCAGTGTGAGGTAATATTAGAAATAATCCCACTGAAGTATTATCAACAGATAAGAGGTGGATCATGCAATCACAAGCTAATCTTGTAATTGTCTCTTTATACATATGACATATGTTATAAACACTCTCTTGAGGTTTGTTGTTTGTACTTGCACCATTTTACTTTAAAAAAATCTTACTAAACTTCTAGTGTTTACCATTCACTTTTTACATTCAATATGTGTGTATACTGCTGTTTTTTACAATAAAACATCAGTACAGAATAAGTAGGTGCACACACTTAAAATGAAACTCAGGTGTGTTCCTTGGGTATAACACATCTGCTCTTGGCAGATCCATCTACATCTGCATAGATCTAAGTTGTGCAACATTGGAGCTCAGTTCCTTTACTCTTTTTAAGAGAAGATGGCTTGCTGTATGGGTTAATGGGATTAAAATGAACAACAGGCTTTTCACATACAGTATGGCACAGAAGGTTTGAGTATAGTCTTTTATTTAGTACATAACAGACATTCTAACTTACTAATATTCCTCCTAACTATGCCTGCCATACCTTTCTATGTGCAGCCTACAGTGCTGGAAATCCTCTAAAACAGAATAAGTCAAAATGAGTGGAATATCCTTGTAGTTGCCATGTATGAGCAAGAGGAGTTGCTTGCAAAAACATAGTTGTGTGAATGTGGGGAAAATCAATGTATGGGTTTTCATTTATAACAAAATACTTTCCAAATATTCTATATTCATTAGAATTTCTGCAGATGCCGGTGCACATACATTTTCTCTTCTCACATAAATGGAATTTTATTTTATTTAAGATACGTGTTTAAAGCAAAAAAAAAAAAAAATCTAGTTATTTCCTTGGTGTGGAAGTTAGAAAATTTCATATTTCTCTCTAAGATCCTACTTACTTGATCTGAACATTAAGACTGAATTTGTATCCAGAGAAGAAGATTTAAATGTTTGATCTTTTTGTTCCCATAAATACCAACGAGACAATAATGACATTTGAAAGCTTGCTTGCATCCACTGAGGGGGCAAAAATTATAATGAAGCCTGTAAAAAGATCATAGTTGTTTCTTACTTCCTTTTTGTTTAAAATAGTTGAAATATTATATTCTAATATATATTATTCTCTCTCCCTGTTAGAAGAAGGCTACAGTTCCACTATCTAGTCATGATGCCCAGTAATTGCAATGAATAGCTGATTAATCATTCGTGAAATGTTACCAGTAGTGTTTCCTAAAATTAAATAACCATATGTTCAATACCTGTTTCAAATTTCCTATAGTAAGTTGCATATGAGAGTTACTAGATGCAGTATTTCATTATGTTGAAGATAAGAGGGAAGAGTAGAAAAATGTAAGGACTGCTTGTCTGCAAAATCTTAATGAAATTTGTAAGGGTAATATAAGTGAGGGAAACTTGCCATCATTTTCCCAGTAGGGATACACCATGCCTTTTTGCATGAATTCATCTGTGTGCTCAAAGGTTTTATTATTTTCCCATCCAGGCATGTAGAAGAGTTACAAATCAAAGGAAAAGACTCCTTTGTTGCCTTGGATAAATGTTTGCTGTACAATTATGCTTGAACCTTTGTGTTCATGTTGCTTTTGAGCCATTGCACGTTCTCCTTTCCTTTTTAATGTTGTAGATACTTTGAAGCAATACAGCTGAACTTCCGACAACGTCTGCACGTCGAACAGATATTTGACCTGGAGAATGGAGAATATCTTTGTCCCCTTTGCAAATCTCTGTGCAATACTGTGATTCCTATTGTTCCACTGCGGGCTCAAAAAATAAACAGGTGAAATACCAGATTGGTTAACCTCTACTTAAAAAAAAAAAAAAAAAGGAAATATTACTTTAGGGCTGATCAGCTTTTCAAATTTTTGGAAGAAAAACTTCAAAAAACTCATCTGTATAAAATACTGCATATCTTCTTATTGATTGCTTAGCCAAATATACGTCTTTTGGCAGTAAATACTTTATTTTTTATAAAACATTTTTGGGTTGCCTACTTTTTGAAGTTGAAATCAAATGAGAAAGTACCTAGACCTAGTATTTAGCCTTGTGCTTAATTTTGTACTGTTTGCTCAAAATTTCTGAAGGCAGTAAAACTGAGCTAATACTGTTTGGATGTGTTTGGATCTAATTGTGTCCTCTACTTTTTAAGTTAAGGTGGTTCTTTAAATGTTAAAGTAAAACCTGCTTTCTATTTTTTTTTTTTTCAGTGAGGATGCAGACGCAGTAGCTCAAATCCTGTCCCTAGCTAGGTGGCTGGAGATTGTCACAGTCAGGATATCAGGCTACAGTGTGAAAAATGCTAAAGGTTTGTTATCTTAATTTTTAAGCTATTCTGTGGGATAGACATCAGTGTATGTCTTAACTAGTACCAGTAGAAAACTTCAAATAAAGAATTGAGTTTTGCTCTCAATCAAGACAGTATCAAATAAAGCTGGGGATAAAAATTATTGCCCTTTCTGAGTTGATATCTTGATTTCAGTCCCCTCACCAATTTTCTGGCTTTTGTTAATTATTTTCCATCTTTCCTTTGGAAAAAAAGGCGCACTTGGAGAGGATGCCGACAGACTAATGCTCATGGTTAATAAACTTTTATGTGGACTGTGAGGTAGTTAAAAATAGAACAACTAAATTATAAAGGACAAAATGAAAGTAGGTATGAGTATTTAGAAAACAGGAGGCACAGAGAGTCTAGTGTTTTGTGGAATAGAGGCAAAAGTTACTTAAAGGAGGAATCATGGAATATAGTCTAGCTTGTGAGGTATGTTTGCAATTATTTTGAAATCAGTTTCAAATAAAAACACTACTCCCTTTTTTTCGACTGCTTAAAAAACTGTAGCAGCTTCTTTGCTTTTTAATGCAGATGTATTTTTTTTTTCCTGTTAGGAGAGAAACAAAGTCTTCCACCTTTCACCAACAAGGGAACTGGGAGCTCAGCTTTGGAATTCCATTCCATCCTTAGTTTTGGAGTTCAGTCGTCGTAAGTGTTACTAGCAGTGTTCTCTGCATTATATTAATTTTCCCTTCAATATCCCAGGTATACTTCAGAATGTGTATTGAAGGAAAGCAGTGCTTTGTTTGGTCTGACTAGGGGCTTACTCATTATTTTCCATAAGCATTCACTGAATATTGAATCTGTGAGGAGCTAGGTGGACCTTTTGGTCAAGTCCAGTCTGGTACTTCTTATGTTCTTGGTACAAAGCTAGAAGCCTGGAATCTTCTAATCTACAATTCCAGTGATTTGGGTTACTTGCTGTGCCTCTAGGCATGTTATTTATTGTTTGTCTGCCTTAATTTTTCTGCCATACATCTGTTTTGGGCATGGATTTCAGGTGGTTTTGGACATGATAATGGGATGGGGATCACTTAGAGGGATAGGGCTCTTGTCTTGTTCTGTTTCTCTTCTATTCTAAATTAAACTCAATGCCAACATTGAGTTTATTTGAGACAGCAATTGGTGATCATGTTCCACATTACTAATTGTAACACTAAGCACGTTCAATTCCCATGGGCAAAAGCATTTGCCCACTAAAACAGAATGAATGGTAGATGCTTATCAAGTGAGCTCAACTGTCCCTTATCTCATTTTAAATCATGCTGTAAGTACTCTGCTACTTCAGACTGACATCAAAGCTATGCAAAATATCCATGTATATCTTTTATTTGTACAAAAATAAAAAAATGTTCTGTTGTCAGAAACCTGAATCAAATTTTTTCTTGATAACTGATGGGAAAGATTCTGTAGTTTAAAGTTAAACAGTGTTGTTTAAGTGTGAACCTGGCTAAACCCCAGATTTTTGGGTACAATTGTTTTGTCCATAGAGATACAGAGAATTATTATGAATGTCATATAGTTCTATTAGAAAATCCTATGTATGACTTGAAAAAAAACCCACAAGCCATTAAAACTGCTAAACACTTGTTTACATAAAACTACATTTACAGAAACTAACCTGATGTAATTAGGAAAGCGCTTAAGTGCTAAAAAATGTGTTTAAAAACACACTTGAAAGGTCTTCCATTTTCAGCACTTTACTATTTTCACTTCAGGACTTAAAATTACTGTTTCTTACAATGTTTATTTTCATCGTATTTTACTTTAAAATGTTTGCATTTTTTTAATGTGAATTATAATGTCATACACAGAAATAATATCTTCCAGCCTGGCAGCTCTTAATCTCTCAATTTGTAAAGTCTTTTTTGCCAAAGTCCTTGATTTACTACTGAAAGCTAGGGATTTTTTTTTATCTCTGTCCAGACAAAGAGTCTTTGTTCTCAATATTTCTTTCATAAATAACTGTCCTGGTTTGGACTTAGACTTTGCTAGTGATTGATTAACCAGTAAGTAGTTATCACTATTAATAATTGAGACTGAAATTTTCTCATGTTGGTTTTGCAGAGCCAAGTACTCAAGCAGTATCAAAGAGATGCTTATTCTCTTTGCCACCACCATTTACAGAGTTGGGCTCAAAGTTGCTCCAAATGAAGCTGATTCCCGGATTCCTATGATGACCTGGAGCACTTGTGCTTTTACCATCCAGTGTATAGGTAAAGTGTAATTTCAGCTTATTCCTTCTCGTTAATTTAAAATGTTACAGCTTGATTGTTTAATTTTATACAATGTGATTGTACAAATAATAGTTCTACATAAGTACAAGCCATATGTAATAGTATAGCAAATTAAATTATATGTAATTACATATGTAATAGCAGAATTATTATCTATAAACCAATAGAAATAGTAGGATGTTGTTCTTACATAGTAGCTCATGAAATATGGTATGGAATGCCAACATTGAATTTAATTTGAGACAGCAGTTAGTGATCATGTTCCACATTACTAATTGTAACACTAAGCATGTTCGGTTAATATTTTCAGGTTGTTAAAGATCATTGACTTGCAGGCATCTCCTACACTAAATGTCCAGTAGCTGTGAAATACTACTCTGTCTCCGTATTTGGTTTTATCTATATTATTTAAAAAATTTTCATGGGATTTGTAGAAGAAAGTCCCTTGTATTCTGAAACTGCTAAGTAGATACCTGGTAGAAAAAGAAACAAAAAACCCACCAAAAAAACTACCAAACATTCTCTGCCATGAATCTCTCAAGGCAAAAAAATTAGCAGAAAAAAATTTTCATTATGTGGGATAATTTTATTTCGTTTCTGTACTACATACACAATTAAGTTTGTGTAATGAACATGAAGCTGTGGATAAATCTGTAGATGCTTCCAGACAGGGAAAAAGGCAAGATCTAGGTCTAAAATGCATGATGAAGGGATTGAGAACATAATTGTATGTGTCCATACATGTGATTTGTCAACTATACCAAGTATTTCTTGATGAAGATGTAGAAGTACAAGTTTAGTCTACCTCGAATCTCTAATGGAGTATCAGGAGTTCAGAAGGTTTTTAGGTGGATTGGGAATATTCTGATAAAGCAGAAATGGAACTGATTGCGTCTTTAGTGATGGATTCTATATTTTCAAATAGGTTGAAATTGGTCACCCACTTTATTAACATTACTGTACTTAACGCTGTGCAGATTGGTTTTGTTTGATATATGAAAAAGGATATTTGTGGCTGTCAAGGAGGAGTTAGCCAGCAAGTGCATAAATGCAGTAACTGTTGTCACAGGTCTGATATTGAAGGCCTGTGTTAGTAAAAGAAAATTCAGGTACTCTTGAGGAGAAGAGTATAAAGCCAGAGGGATCACTGTGACAGTTTGACTTGGCCACACCACTTCCTTGGAATCGTTTTTGTTTGCAAATGGAGCAGACTTTTGTGGAATTGTAAAGCAAAACTGCCTGCATAGTTTCAGTATGCTGGTCTAAGAGTCTAGTTATAGTGTATTATTGAAACCATTTAATGGGCATATAGCTGAGCTGCCTAGACAAGGAACTTCAGAGGAACCTCTAGAGGAGATTCAAAATATCATTGACCTAAGGGAAGGGAATTGGTCTCATTGCTAAAAGCCAGACTCCTGAAAAAAGAAACAAACTCAAAACCTGCCAGAACCAAAACCCCACAACAAAAAGCCTCCAAACCAGAATCTCCCAATGAAATAAAATTTTAAAAATTCCAGGTGTACTGTTTCATCTCTGGAAAGCGACTGAAGTACAAAACCATTTGAACTGATACCTTTTTACTCAATTGAGTTAATTTGATTTCTTGTTTTTTTATTGGCTTATTTTTTCCTGATTATTCCTTCAAAACCAAAGCACTTAGGGAGGAAAGATGAGCTGTATTCCAACTTGGGAGTTTTGTTTTCAAAGTATTTCTGTTAAACTGGAGTCAAATGCAGTAGTGCAAATTTTGCCAGGTTGCCAAGGCAAATTGTGGCTGCCCCATCCCTGGCAGTGTTGAAGGTCAGGTTGGATGAGGCCTTAAGCAGTGTAGTCTAGTGAGGGTGTTCCTGCCCATGGCAGGGGAGTGGGAATTAGATGAACTTGAAGGGTCCATTTCAGCTCCTTAACATTCTATGATAAATATGAGGGTAAGATGGCTGCATAGCATCTCTGTAAATGTAACTTGATGGATTTGAGCATTTCATAAGGGTAACTGAAAATAAATCTGAATCCATAGAATGAATGTTTTATCATCATTCATGTGAAGCAACATTCCTTTAAATCCTTAGTTTGCAAAGGCTGAAAACTGAAAATTTTAAAATTGCTTATTGCAATAATTTATCTTGGAAATGATCAGTGCCATTTAAGACAGATTTGGTTTTTTTCAAGAGAATTCTGTTATAACAATTTGGGTGAGCTTTAAAAAGGAGTGTATATAATAAGAATAAATTAATATTAGGTTGTGTAGAAAAAAAAAAAACTTAATTTTTTCTGTGTTTAATTTTAAGAAAACCTCTTGGAAACAGAGGGCAAGCCTTTATTTGGATCCCTACAAAATAGACAGGTATGGATGAGTAAGACATGCAATATATTTTAAACAAAAAAGTATTTCTAATATACATGCATCTATAAACCTGTCAAAACTGTTAAGATCAAGATCATTCTCTGTTGAGGGATATCTCTCAATGTTTGGATTCATAGCATAAAGAGCACTTTGAAAGAATAATATCTGCTTGTATATGGATGTTCATATTAAATTAATTTATGCATGTCTTTTATGTTTATGTAGAAGTAGATATGTTTTTACAGTTCTATATCACTCTTATATTTAGCCTTTTTTTCCCATTCAACCCTTTTCTCTTGCGCTCTAGCACAGTGGCCTTAAAGCATTAGTGCAGTTTGCAGCTGCTCAGAGAACAACATCCCCACAGCTTCTGATACAGAAACACCTGATTCGTCTTCTAGGAGGTACTGTAGTCCTTTTGTTTCCTGTCTTTTGTGTTGTGGAAGTTTCTGTTGCAAAGTGGCACACAGGTTAGCGCAGCACAGAGGCCAGGGCTGGAGTACTTGACAGCAGTGCTCACTTCAGTTGCCTGAAATCATGGGGTGTAGATGGAACTCACCCCGGGTTACCCAGACCTACAAATACTCAAGTCTGGAAAAGATGGGAACAACTGTCTCTGGCAATGTTCAGAATTACTCAAATTCTCTTCTAAACAGATTAATAAAGCCACAAAATAGGTTTTTCTTAATTGTGAGACCTCATCTTCTTAGCATGGAGAAGAGCAGGCTCTGGGGAGGTTCGTCGCAGCCTTCCAGTATCCTACGAGGGCTTATAAAAAGGAGAGAAAGGGACTTATTAGAGAGGTAGATAGGAGCAGGACATAAGTGGAATGGTTTTAAACTGAAAAAAACTAGGTTTAGGTTAACTATTACATAGAAATTCTGTGCTGTGGGGTGGTGGGGCACTAAAACAGGCTGCTCAAAGAAGTGGTTGCCCCATCCCTGGAAGTGTTAAAGATCAGATTGGAGGGAGCTCTGGGCAGCCTGGTGTACTGAGTCACACTCCTGCCTTTGGCAGGGGAGATGGAACTGGATCATCTTTAAGCTCCCTTTCAATGCAAACCATTCTATAATTCTGTGACTTTCAGTACTTTCAAAAGTCTGCTTGAAGCCTAGCTTAAGATATTTCAGTCCCAGGGAGAGCTAGTTTGAGGCATGTAGTTTCCCCATAGTTTCTTATTGATTGGGTTAGTCTAAGAGTCTTATATGGGGTTCTTAGGCTTTTGTATTGGGCAAGGTTGTGAGGCATCTAGTGTTGAGGTGGCCTAAGGACCTTCACCTTTAACACTATGTGTGATTTATTAGAGGTGGAGAAATAAAGATTTATGTCTCAGAATTTTGAAGATATATTAATTAAAATTGTTAACTGTTAGTGCATGTGGAAATAGCTAAACATGCACAATCAAACCAGTGGTAAGCAGTTAATTAAACAGATCCTTACTTAAGGATCTGGACTTTTGTTTGATGAAAACACAGAAATGATAGAGGCTCTAAAATCAGATTCTGATACTACAGTTCAACTCAAAAGAAGAAAATACGTGCTAAATATTTAACTGATGCCTTTATTTTGTAGTTCTTCTACCAAACTATAAAGGGGAGGACACTCCATCACTCTTAGAAGTAGATATGTTCCACATTTTGGTAAGCAGGTTCATTTTATTCTTCATGTTAATACTTTCTTTTGAGCACAAATTTTTGTGTACTGTACTCTGTAAATAGTATCTGTTCACTTGCATGAGTCAAATGATTATATATGAGCAACCATCAAATGATTGCATTTGACCGCTGCGTTTACTTTTAGTTCTGCTAACTTTCAAATCTTTGCTGTCTTGTTCTTATTAAATTTCCTTCTTGCAATCTCAATCTTCTTTTTTCCACTTCCATTGTTACTAAGGATTAAAAAAAACAACTTAAGAAGCGCACTCAGTTTCTTTCCCTCACTTTCCCTTTGTCTCAATCAGTATCTCATACTCTGATTTCTTTACATAGACTCTCGTTACCTTCTGTATTTTTCTTAGCCTCTTCTTTCTGTTCTTAATACAAATCTGTGTTACAGATTTTTCTGCCGTTCAAAAAATCCAAAGCACGCAGAAAATGGCCAATAAAACCACTCACCAAATAAAATCTGTCTTGCCCTGGCTGTCCTTCTATCTAATGTTTGGTCTCACTTCCCACTTTTTTCAATGTGCTTTGTCTTGTGTCAAAGAACAGAAATCAAGCTTTTTAGGAACTGGGCATGGTATATCTCTAAACTGACAGTTACTATTCAACTCTGTCTGAGTTTCCTACATGCCTTAGTGCTCAAAGGGCTGATATTTTCCAGTGAGTTTTTGCTACACTTTGCATTAAAACTAGTAAGATAGATTAACATACTCAGAATACAGAAATAAAATACAAATGTATAGTGAGAGTACAGTTGCTACCGTTGTATCTATTACCAAATTTTTGGCGCTTTAATATTTGTCTATTCCTCTTCACTGTAGGTGGCAGCTGTATTATCCTTTCCATCTTTATACTGGGAAGATGCTGTAGACTTGCAACCTTCATCAGTTAGTTCAGCCTATAACCACCTCTACCTCTTCCATCTGACAACACTGGCACACATAATGCAAATAGTCATCTCTTCAGCAACAGGTAGGTGTATATTTGTGTTGCATTTTTCTGGCATTTTTGCACAGTTTCTTAAAAATAATGGATTGATACCATTAGTGTCTTTCAGGTATAAATGTGCTCATAAGAGGTGACACTTAGACCTAAGTAGTAATAACTGTTTTCTGGTAAAAATGAAGTAGCATTACATCAAGTTCAGAGCATTTTATTATATCACTTCTGTGTGCTTAGGCTAAGAAACCAAAATAGTTACTGATATATCAGTACTTGCTCCAGTCAGTCATTTTAGAGGGGTAACTTTCCCTTCTTCACTCCTCGTAAGAGAATCAAAGTTCTGCCAGCATCACTGAGCTGCACAGTGATAATCCATATGGATTTGGGAAATAAAATTTTCTTTGCTCTTCAACTTAGTAATTACCCAGATACGAAATACAGAATCCTGTAAACCGATAGGAGAGAATTAAATTTTTCTCTCTATTTCATAACATAGTTAAAAATTGCCTATAGACTTTCTAGCTAGTACTTTGTTTTTTCTTCAGTATGATAGGAATTTTAAAAAAAATCCAGACATTTAAAAAAATTTCTGTAGCTTAAGCTATGTAGAACAACTTCAGAAGTTCAAGGGAAGGAAGCAATTCTTTACTGAGGATGACCAATGAGAGTGTAATCCTGATTCTTCCTTACAGCATTAAGTCTCGGGAGAACATTTTTAAGACAGAAAACAGCAAATAGAAAAGAATTAGGCAAATTAAAGTGGAATTAATTCTGTAATTGAATTTAAAAAAAAGGTTTTAGTATTTGTAAAAGAGAAGTATGTCAGGATGTAGTGCATTTACAGTGGACTCTTCTTTTTGTGTGCAGAATCCCCTACTGCTCACTCATCTGACAATAGTGAGGAGGCACAGTCTGCACAATCTTTCTGTAGAGAGGTTTGCCAATACACTAGTGGGTAAGTAACAGTTCAATTGTATTGTTAAATTTTCTTGGAAAGACAGCAATCCACAGGATTGACCAGGACAACACAGAAGACAGGAAAAAATTACTCATTTCATATAGGGAGTAGCACAGTGCCTTGTGCTTTCTTCCCACACTCCTGAACACTGCAAGTGGTAAAAGAAATGCTTTTAGTTAAAGTGGCTGCTTTTTGTGGACAGCAGAGTTAATCATTAGCCTGAGGATGAAAAAATACCTGTATCCATTGTGGAGAGAAATACATCCAGCTGCAGTATTTATTTTTTCTTTGCTTTGATTATTTTGGTTTAGATCTCTTGTGTTATAAATGGGAACAAGAAAGAAGGAAATGGTCCTACTACAAAAGGGGGATAAGTGTAAAGCTGAACGTTGTGGCTTATTTGAGTGTTAGTGCCCATTTTCAGACTTTTCTGACAGGTACAGCTGTCTAATTTGAAGATTTATTACAAGTGTGGTTCATAAACTCAGTACTCATTTCTTGTGAAAAGGGGAGGTTGGAAGTCAAGCGCTGGTGGCTGTGTTTCACAGAATTTGGGACACATGAGGCTTGCTTCTACACAGCTACCATTCTACCAATGCTAGCCAAAATATGATAGTGCTAGAATGATTTGCACTATGAACTACTGCAGCTTTTTCTCATTTCTGTTTTACAGTTGCTTCAGTCAGGATATTCCAGGCTGGCTTGTGTGGGATTGTGTTAAAAAAGGCATCATGCCTTACCTTCGTTGTGCTGCTTTATTTTTTCATTATTTGCTGGGAGTTTCTCCACCTGAGGAGCTATTACAAGGTAAATATGAGAAAACAAATGTACGACCTTCTCTGTCTTGAAAGAATTTTTAGATGTTCACAATAATTTAACAATAGTCAATACATGAAAGTAAGACTTGGAAGGTAAAGGAATTACTAATTCGTAGAGGAAGGGACAGGCACTTGAAGCTGAGTTGTCCTGACCTGCACAGAAGATGCAAATATGTGAATGGTCAGTGATGTATTGATAGTGAGTACTTGTTGATAAAGATTCAGCAGTTTAAAGATAATTTCAGGAATTTAGGTTACATTGCTTGAAATGTATTTTGAAAGCCCAGTGTTTTTTGTAGTGCTAATGTTGATAAATGCTAAAGATACAGGGATTGAGCCAAACAAAACCAAACAGGTACAAAGCACAAATTTAAGCCTCTTCCTTGAAGGATCCTAATACATTGCTGTTACTAACCCCAAAAATAAATATTTTGTTATGTGTCAAAATCCAGTGAAACACAGAATCATCAACTATTTGGAAAGAAGAGCAGTAATTTTTATGAATAACTGAGACAAAATATAACACATATATAACAACAAAAAAGAAAAAATTATTTCTATAAACTGTGAACTAAATTAGAATTTTATTAGAATATGCAAGTCAAAATCTCTGCACATTGGGATATGCCGTTATCCTTACCAGGGGTCTGGATCTTTGATTCTGTAGGGAGGAGTCTTTCTGGTGAACTAACAATGTAATTTTCTGTAGGAGAGACAATAAATGACCACCCAGCAAACTATAAAATTAGCCCAATGTCATGTAATGTTAGCACTGACTTGATTACAGCAAAATTTAATATCATTGAGGACTATCGTAAGGGTAGTGAAAAAATAAAATGCAAGTACAGAAATCTTCTGCACTTGTGTGACATTTTATGCAGTAATTTAAGCAAGGATTTTTTTTATTACAGTAACTTATGTATTAAAAATACTTAATTATATATGTCAAATTTGTTTAAACAGATCCTCAACTAATCCAAATGATAGCTCTGATTAAGTTGGCAGAATAATACCCAGTTGTACGATGTAGGCACTATGATGAAGCTGCAGGATACAGACTATTCAATGGAAAAGGGATCAGGAGATTTCTAGTTTTGAGTGAATTATTCAGCAGTGCTGAAACACTTGAGCACTCATTCGTGTTTTCTTTTGCAGTTTCTGAAGAAGGGCAATTCAAGGCACTTTGTAGTTACCTCTGTCTACCTACAAATTTGTTCCAGCTCTTCCATGAATATTGGGACACAGTAAATCCACTGCTTCAAAGGTACTAACTGGGACTGGACAGGCCATGTTCTTCTATTGTGATGGCCCTGTGGGAATTCTAGACCAAAATTGTTAGGGAATGACTAAGCTCAAACTCATACTGAAGTTGTATACATTTTCTACAGGTACACTAAATCTCTTAAAGCACTTCAGAAACATAAAGCACTCTCTATTTTATGATAGTTCCAATATTAACTAATTATAGTTTAAGGGACTAGTGCTTGCAGACCCATATGAAACCATACAGACAGAAGTTATTTTAAACCATTGTGTGTTTGATATGGCACTCAGTGCTCATTTGCCTATTTTTAATCTGTCCTCAGCAAAAGTGCTGATTACACGAGCTATAAAATGAGAGTGTGGAAAATCATGTAGCTGGCAGGGTGAGGCTTTGTATTATTTCTTCTCAACATTTGCAAAATAGACTGGTGGATGTTGAAACTGGCTTAATGGTTAAAAGGTGCAATTTGAGCATTATGTACATTGCCATGTGCAGTCATGGAATCATAGAATGTTAGAGGGTTGGGAGGAACCTTAAAGACAATCTGGATCTCAGCACCCTGCCATGGACAGGGACACCTTCCACTAAAGCAGGCTGCTCCAAGCCTTATTCAAGCTGGACTTGAACACTTCCAGGATTGGGGCATCCAAAACTTCTCTGGGCAACCTGCTCCAGTATCTTACCATCCTCAGAGGAAAGAATTTCTTCCTGATTTCTAACCTAAATTTCACTTCTTTCAGTTTGTGAAAGTAGCAGTAAAGAAAACATTTTCTTTAGCAGTAAAGAAAGAATCGGTTAAATTCTGCATTCAAAACCTCAAATTAAATGAATGGACACACCATACCTCATCCTCAGTTAAGACTAGAGCAGCTATATTGTGTTGGAGAATGTGTGTTTAACATGACCATTTGAGCACCTGATGGCAATAATGATTATTCCTGGTTCTTGGCAGAATTCTCTGACTCACATTAGCTTTTACTTCATTGTTGTTTGGTTGGGTTTTTTAACCTCTAGTTGTTTTCATCTTTGTGGTCTAGATTTCTTCAATTTAGGGACATTACATTTTGAACTGTTGATTTCCAACAGTCCATGTAGCTGACCTAAACAGTTCCCTACATACAGTTTTATTATTATCAGTTCCATTTGTAGTGTATATTATTACATATAAATTTATAGATTCGTTTTTACAAGTAAAGTATTAAATTACTTTTTCTTACTTATTCTTACATATTTGCTTAATGACATAGAAGTTTTTCTAAGAGAACACAAAAAATATGATGCTTGTGAACATGGGGAAAGATCACTAGAAGCAGGATTAGCAAATAGTTACTGTGCTACAGAAAAAGAGGTTTCAAGTAGGAGGCTGCGTATTTAACATAATAGTAACAGTTGCCAGATCATCATGCAGGTTCCCATATGTTTTTTCACAGATTCTTATTTCAGAAGGCTGAATTTGATGATTGTTGAGAAATGTGTTAAATGAAGCATACTAGATTGACCATCTGCTGCAGTTCTTTCTCCCTTCTCTTTTTTTTTTTTTTGTAGAAATAACTTAAAAGACATCTTAAACATATCAGTTCCTCTCTTCTGTAGCTGGCCACTACCTGCCATTTTTTTGATAGACACATTTGGCCATTCTAAGCAATTATGTAATAAACCATTGTAAAATAGCCATTAGGTGATGGTTATTTAATAAAAGCAGCAAATATTTTTCTATTAGAATGCACAAATATTTATTTCTGCTGTATCTTCTAGCATATGTATTTCAAAAGGTGCTGTGTATTGTAGCCCTCTTTGAGGAACTGAATATGTCTGAAGACTACTTGCGTTGTTTAACTCTGTGTAAATCTAGTGGTTTTATGTGCATGATAGTATTTTTAAGTCTTCTTTCACATAGGTTTTTCCTCCTGTATGCAAAACATTCTCCTGATGAAAACTATTAAAAAACACCCCTGTTTTTATCTTGCAAAGTTTTAAGTAGAGCTGTCAGTGCTTTTTATCAGTGTTTTGTGTTTGCTTATCACTTACTAGTTTAATTTAATGAACCTAAATGTATATTTTTATCAAATACTGTAATCTGCAAATGTTTGTTTGAAATAGGTGGTGTGCTGATCCAGTGGTGTTAAGTTGTTTGAAAGGGAAAAGCATTGCAATAAGGTAAGCTTGTTGTTGTTTTTTTCTTCTGATTTTGACTTAAAACACTTGAAAGAATGAAATGCTTATTGTGGGCAAGTCAGAGACTTCATGTTTTATTCCTTCTGCCCTACTGCTAGAAGTACATTTCTCTTTAAATCTCTTGTTTATTATTCCTCATACATTGACTCTTTATTGAGATTGTACAACATTGTTAGACAAGTAATCTGTCCTGCTGTAGGAAAGACCAATAGCTAAATGAAATAGGAAATGTCTTCATACATGTATGTTATATGTGAAATTTAAGTTCAGCACCTTTGCTGGAATGTAGAAATGTTGAAACTCCCATGTGGAGCATCTCATTTGGGATTCTGGGACTGAAGAATTGCTCTAGAATTGTAGACTTTTGCAGAAATGACCAAAAGCTTAGCAGGAGTTTGTGGTTATTTAGTCCATTGTTTGCTTTGATCTTTATTATTCTCATAATACTTCTATTCCACTTACCCAGGTATCCTAGGAAAAGAAATCATTTAATAGAGCTTCCTGAAGACTACAGTTGCCTTCTGAATCAAGCCTCTCAGTTTAGGTAACATGTGGCATATTTAGTTGCTTTCTTAGGTGTTTTGTCGCTTTTAGTGAATTTTATATTCTTGCAGTTACTGTAACTGGTATTGAAAGAATACAGAAATTATTTTGTAGTGAGGGCATTGTTATGGTTATACTGACCTATACTAGCACCTATTCATTTTAAATGTGAAACACAACAGCTTGCTAAATGAAGTCACTTGTGTTTGATAAGGCAGCATATAAAATTTTTATAGCTTAGTCTGCTGGTCACTTTTCTCCTGCAGAATGTGCATTTGGTTTGGCCATAAGCCCAAAAATTATTTTTGCACTGGACACAACAAGCTCAGATGATGGCACTGTTTTTTGCCAAGAAGTGTGAATCATAGGATAATTGAGGTCAGAAGGGACTTCTGTTGATCATCTAGTTCAATCTCCTACTCAAAGGAGATATCTTGCAGATAATTATTTCAAACAGTGTGAAAATACAACATGAGGAGGCAGATATGTTATTTGGTTGTGATACAATATGTCTTAGGCTTTTGTTTGATTGTGATTTGGGGTTTTAAATTGGTTGGATAGGTCTTTTTGGGGTTTTCTTAAGGAACATTAACCTTTAGTTAAAATTTCTTTTAAAGTTTTGGTTTCTGCTGTGACATGCTGGTTACGCTTCTTTTAGATGCCCACGGTCTTCTGATGATGAACAAAAGCACCCAGTATTGTGTTTATTCTGTGGGGCAATGCTGTGTTCCCAGAACACTTGCTGTCAGGAGCTGGTGAATGGGGAGGAGCTGGGAGCCTGTACTTCTCATGCTCTTCAATGTGGAGCTGGAGTCTGCATGTTTCTCAAGTAAGTAGCCAGAAGTCACAACATTGTCAAAGCATTTGATTCTTTTTGTCTGAGATAAAGAAACAATACTTTGACATAAATTATAGCTCACCGGAAAGGGAAGATCCTGATTGGAGTTGTATTTTAAATGTAGCTATTCTTTTCTTTAAGAATCAGGGAATGCAAAGTTGTCCTCATTGAAGGTAAAACCAGGGGCTGCTTATATCCTGCACCCTATTTGGATGAATATGGAGAAACAGATCCAGGTCTGAAGTAAGTAAATGCCTGACTTCCTACCTCTCCATTTTTATCTTTTTTTCCTTCTTATACTCATTGGACAACACATTCTTCTGGCTAGTGTGTACAACACTGTATGTAATGCATATCTTGACCTGGGGAACTGATGGCAGTTTCCAGTCAGAAGTGGGTAGTTTATAATGAGAAAATACACTTTTTTAGTACTGTTAAACTTTCTTACTTGTCTCAAGAATGCTTTTATGCATTTCATCAGAAACATATGAGAACTGCCATTGCTGAAATATCATCACAGAAATGGCAGTCATTGCTTGTCACAAGTAGAGATATTTTTGCATTTCCGATAGACTTGTTTGGAATTTAATTAGTATTTAATTAGTCTAGAGTTAATGTTAGCCTATTAATTGGACAGTTTGTCAGTTGCTATTCTGATATGCTAACTGGTTGTTCTCTTTTCCTCTGAAGAAGAGGAAATCCCCTGCACTTGTGTCAGGAGCGTTACCGGAAGCTCCATCTGCTGTGGCAGCAGCACTGCATCATAGAGGAGATTGCCAGGAGCCAAGAAACAAATCAGATCTTCTTTGGATTCAACTGGCAGCTGCTCTGAGTCTCTTGATTTTAGGGAAAACTCTGACCTGTGGCAATGCTTTGGAAAAGGAAAGGAAGGTGGCAGTAAAAATATCTACTCAAGTGGTTTCTGTAGTTCAGACAATTAATTGATGGATTCTCTAGGTTGGATGTATCACTGATAACAGTGATTCATTGAAACAGAAACTCGTATCACATATTTTTCTCTTTTTTCCTTTCCAAAAAAAGGAAAATCACATTCTGTAATTATTACTGAACCAGAAATATTTCCATTTTTTTCAGAAGTTCAGATTGTTTTATGTGTTTTCATGAGGACAGTTCCCAAATGCTGTTTTTCAGAGCACAGACCACACTTGTCTCTTCCATGACTTGAGAACATATGTAAATGGTGTTGCCAAGAAAAAGCCTCCTTTACCTTCTTCCTGGGTTCTTTTCCCAAGCTTAGTGAAGCTTTAAATAGATCGAGATCATATTGGAGTGGAAGTGGTGCAAGGTCTTTAGTCACCTGCAGCAACCGGCAAAATAAAAAATAAATTTTACAGAAAAAGCTTGTATTCAGATATACCTTGGGATTTAATGAAGAGTTTTCATTGATGAATTCTTTAAAAGTGTGGAATAGAAAGTGCATGGAGGGATAACCATCTTGCTTGTTGCATCAAAAAATTAAGTCTGTGCTTTTTGCATTGCCAGAACTGCACTTTATCTAATGAAATTATCCTCCATTAGTGTATATCATAAGAGGTCTGGGGCTTCACCATTTGCCTAGGTTATGGTTAGTTTTACTTCTTTTACAGTTTATCTTCTGAGGCCTTCCCCAAGAATCGAAAGAGAAAATACTGCAGGTATGTAGTTGCGGTGTAGCTCTGTAAGCTACCGAGCCAGAGACCTCAGTGAAGTAAACAGCCTTCAAAGCTGTCACTGGACTTAAATCAAGGCCCAAAACCAGCAAGTTTTAGAATCAGAAATAAGTTTGCCCTTATCTAAGGGATTTTCCACTCGTTATCCTCTGTCACTGTTGTTTGAGCATGTTTTGGAGTCTGCATAAATGAAATTGTGTGTTTTGGGAGGCATGTTCAGTGGTTCAGTGCCAGGTAGACCAGAAAAGGGAAGAAAAGGTGGCTAAATCTGTCTCTTTGCCCTTCAGTAGTTAATAGCACATTGTGATTGAACTCTCTCTCAGTGATATGTGATTGTGCTTCAGTTCTAAATGTTTGTTGCTCTGTTTTCTGAATTTCAGCCATAATATACATGAGAGAATTTGTAATGTGATGGATACAAACTCTTTCACATGGAAATGGCATCTCCTGAGAAAGTTTGAAGTTGTCACTATCCTTCATTTCCCTGCCCCTTTGCTATTTGTAGATTCTTTGGTGCCATTTAAATTAGGCTTTCAAGGGGACTTTTTCAAATTAATGTCTGAATGTTTTTGTGTGATTTCTTTTTTGTTTTCTTTCCCCACAATTACGTGAGAGATAGTAGAATCACAATTAATGATTTAGATTTAAATACCATTCTTCTGGGTTTTTTAAAAATGTTTTTTGAGTATGTATGTATGAGTGCACTGCACAGCACCATAATGAATCTAAATATGGAATACCAATGATCTCAAGCATTGTTCTGGTTTCAAATACTTTTTAAAAACTTCTGCTGTAATCCTTCCCCAGTGATATAAAAAGTTGGCTTTGATATATTTTCCAGGTATTCTCTTTCTTGAAATTAAGACCGTTCTCCTTATTTTGATTCTGTCAGATTTTAAACCTGAATATTAAACTCTTAGAAGCCAAATGGTAATGCTGTTAGTCTTCTCTAAAACATGTTTGAAACACATACTGAGTTTAGAACAGTTGTCATGAAAACTTGCATGCGCTGGTGATTTTTATATCATCAAAACACTGCTTACAAACAAAAATACTGAATTAAGACTGGCAAATGCCTCATTGGTACCAAACCTGTATTCTCTTACTGTTTCCCTCTGATATTTACATATTCAGTTATCACGACCTTTCAGTTATCTTGCACTTCACTGATACAAAATTTCCATTATCCAGTATACAGTGAGATCACTTTATTTTGTTTTCTGTCTGAACTGTAGTATACAAGGACAGGAGCTGATAAGAGCAAGTGAGCTTCTTTAAAGCTCTGGACATCTCTTTGTAGTTAAAGAAGTGGGAGAGGAAAGTTGAGTCTACATTTGCACATACTAATTTAGCAAATGGGCTCCCCTATAGTTCACTGACTAGCGTGGTCATCTTTCATTTCATAAATTACTATGCAGTTTTGTTCACTGTGAGTATAATCTGTATTTAGTGACTGCAAGATGCTTATGCCACTTATTTCTGTTCCATCCAAGCTGACAGAAGTTATTTGATAATGCACATACTGGTATCTTAAATTGCAAAAATGTAAATTTGAAACTTGTATAATGTTCTTGTGCTTTTGAAATAAAATATCTTGTATATGTATATTTAAAAAAAAAGGAAATAAAGTAACTTCTTGTAGATTATTCAGTTTTTATTTGGAGGACCTTTGGCACCGCACAGTTCATTTTACCAAGTGTGTTATAGTGGTGTCTGTCAGTATGGGAAAGGAGAAGAGCTGGAAAATGGTTGGTAAACTATCAGTTATCCATGTAGGCTGTATCTTGGTCATACTGTAAGGAATGATAGGATGCCTTTTCTTATGTAAAGATACGCTCCACGTGAAACCTGTCCTAGTATTTTACAGATGCAAATTCCTACACTGTCTACATAAATTTCTAAAAGAAGTTAAAAGTACAGAATTTAATATTTATATGCCCTGAAACTGATCTAGTTGAGTGCATCTGGTTTTGTATCTTCTTGAATAACTGGCTGTACTGTTTGGCAGATACTTAGTCTCTAGAAAGGGAAACTTTATGGTGCTGGCCTCATGTGCTGTGTGATACATACTTTAAAAAAAAAAATGACTTATTATAGACCTAAGCAAGCAGTCAAGACATCTTTTACACAGATATGGCCAGTACTTCTTGCTCTTAAAGTTACAGGCTGCTGGTTGTCATCATGTTCTCACCGCTTTGTTCAAGCTTTGGGCACCATTTGGGTGTTAATGATGTTGCTCTTTATGCTTATTCTCAGTAAATGGTTTTTAAGAACTGATTTCCTGAAAAGGTGAAAGGTAGAGGTAGATAGGTTGAAGTCTACTAACAAAAATTTTCTGAAGAAAATTAGAAGAGGAATCCTGTTAATTAAGGGAAAAAAGAAAAGACACAGCAGTATTTCTTGTGTAATAAAAATCTCAATATATAAAGTTATGTAGAGGAGTATTTTCACTATTATATGCTCTGCATTATGGTTGAAATCCACTTATTTTCTAGACAACAACCTTGAATAATCTCCAATGTAAACTATTCAAATTCATAATACAGCATCTATGCTGTTACTTAGATTCTTCTAACCTATTACTTGACAAGGTGTTCAAAGATTTTATCAAAAATAGAAGTAGTTTAATTTCTGTGGCACAATCTCTTCTCTTTGTTTTTATCAGTGTTTTCCAGGTAGGCTAAATTGGAAGGTTCATACAGGAAAAAATGGCTAATAATGAAAATCGACTTCCTTACATGTGTCTCAAATCTAGTTGTTTCTAATCCTAGCTACATTTCTCTGAAGTTGGTTTCAGTACAGTCAAAATCGTTCGCAAAAGTGAAGTTATGTAAAGGAAATTTACATTGAAGGAGAGCAAGCTGAAATTCCAAGAGGTGATATATATGTGGTTTTGTGTAACCATGAGTAAGAGACCAGGTACAGAGTTAAACATGAGACATTGAAATGGGACCTGACTTTTGTTTTTCCTGTTCATGAGATCAGTGTCAAAAAGGAGTATAGTTTGTGCTGTATAAGTACAGGTTGTCAAACAACAAAGTCCTTGCTGTATTTGTGAAGATGTGTTGTTAGCCTTTCTCAGAAGACTGCAGAACTTTATCTCCTCCTTAATTGTGCCTGAAATTTAATATTGGCCTCTTTGGGTACAAGAATTGAGATGTTCATCCCAAGGTGATGAAGATCTGCTTGAACTAGTTCATTCAAGGTCCTGCTTGAACTATGTTCATTTTAACAAAATCCTAGATGTGCTGCATGTTTATATTTCTTACTATTTTTTCTCTGTGATCAACATAGAGCAAGTGTTTTCAGTGGCAATGCGCAAGCTTTTAAGGAAGAGCATAGTACATGCAGTTTCTAAAGAAACTCTCATTGTGCCTTCATCAGAAACTGAACATTACAGTGTTTATTTTATTTTTTAAATTAATAACTTGATAAAGAAGACAGTTTTATGCATAGGTAAGTTCCTTACTCTGGAATTTTCTGTATTGTTATAAATTTTGGCTGGATTAGGCATTAGTAACAAATAGGATAACAAGTGTCCCCTGAATCGTATTTATTTCTGTATCTGAGCAGATGCCCTGGCTTAAAGGCTTGGCTCACTAATGCCATCTCTGTCTTTATGAATTACGGAGAGTTAAAGATGGAGTCTGTGCTGCTGCCTGAGTTTGTTTCCTTGATCCAGTGCCTCTGGTGTTAAATACTACAGGAAACCTAAATGGTCATGACAGGTGCTAGAAAGGAAGCTGGGATATGTAGGGTGTAGCACTTCCATGTTCTGAGGAAATAAAGAAGAAAGTATTTATTAACAAAAGTAAATTTTATCCTGATACTGTGAAGTGAGCTATTATCTTTTTGTAATGTATCCCTATCGGTGGAGACTCTGAATGCCTAGACAGGATAGAAATTAGCAGTCTAATGACTTAGTGATTACTGGTAATAGGTCAGACGAAGACTGTTGCCTGTGAGATGTATGCTGAAAGTAAGCTAATTTCAAAACCAGTCACATTCCACTGCTGCAGTTTGGGGCAGTTAGCTGAGAGACAAAGTTTAATGTGCTAAATGCTGCTTAATCTTTTACGGTCAAATGTGTTTTGTTCATATGCAAGTAAATTAGCTATGTGGGGGCTAGAGAAAATGTATAGCTGGATACTTACACCTCTGCTCTTTGTGGTAATGTGTTACAGCTGCTGCTGGATGGCATTTTTTTGTCTTGACAGAGATGCTGAGGCTGGCTCATCAGTTCACTCTTCCTTCCAAATCTGTTTTTTCAGAGCAGACTCTTGACAAACCCATTAACTAGAAAGCTATCAAATGAGTAAGCTTACGGTTCTTATAATTCTACAAGCTTTAGTTATTGAGGTCTAGGACTGTTGTACCAAAATAGAATAAAATTGTCTTGAGGAAGTGACTGCTATTGACTGACACAGATGACACTTGGCATACTTATCTGAAAAAAATTACACTGCATTTAAAGAAAAACATGCAAAATCTGATTAGTTAGCAATTCAAGGAGTGTCTTTTCCCTGATCTCTCAAGGAACCACAACTTTCTGCATTCATTCTTTTCCAGCCTGTATCATCAGCTAATTATAGAGCTGCTGGTAAGTACTTCTGGCTTCCAGAAATGGCTGAAGGAATTACACACCAGTTAAGTTTTAATCACCCACTGGGCAAAGTGATTGCAATGAAGACAAGAAGTAGGCATACAGGTAAGTGCAGTGCAAAGGGGAGAATTAACAGTTCTTGTAGAAAGAAGTCTCAGTTTATAAATCTAGTTCTTTGAAGGGGTTTTAACATACTTAAGTGTAGGCCTATCATGTTAGGCAGTGAAGGAATTACAGTTGAAATTATGGTCATGCACATAGACTCCTGGAATTACACTACAGATTATTGCATTGCACAATTTATTTACAATATATCCTTATAGTATAATTTTTGCTTTTTCTCATGGGATACAACAATATTTAGGTAGAGAAATTTTTACTGTTATTTTGCACAGTTTCAAAAGCAGGAATGGTTTTATTTAAAATATTTCAGTGATAAAATTTTGTTTACTTGATTATGTAAAGAATGCACTCACAGCAGTAACGTGCAAAATATTTCATTTGGTCTTTCCACCTCTGTTTTTTATTGGTACTTTTCTCCTGCTGACTATTAATGATCAGTTACAGTCCTAGGGCATCCTATAACTTCAGGTGTTTTGTGCATTGAAGGCTTTCACTCCATGCATTGACAGAGCTCCTGAGGACTGTAGCAGGGACATGATGTGCAAGCTGTCAGTCTGTCTGCCTTCATTGATTACAAACCTCTTACCTTCCCACCCCTGGATCAGTGTGCTAAGTACTTTTGAAACTAGGAGCTTTCAAGCATCTAGGATCATCAGCTTTTGTTTCATAGAAAGTATCTACTTGATTTTAAACTTGTGCTAGTTGGAAGTTTAAATACCCCTGCACAAGCCAGCAGTTTTCTTAAGCAGAGAACTCCTCTCAGTTGTACTCTGACTTTCAGGGAAGTGGGGCAACTAGCATTCTCTAAACTATTGGAGGGGAAAGTGAAAAGGTACTTCAGACATTTTGGGAAAAACAAGTGAAATACTTTTGTGGTAACTTTTATTGATTTCACCTGAATTTCATATACATGGTGGATTCTTGTAGGCTGTCATATATGTATATTTTTGTTAAAATTTCCCCTTTCCTAACTTGCACCAGCAGAATCTTCACTTCAGGTTTTGTCTTCTTTTTTATAAATAAGCTTTTTATCCAGTGCAATAATTTCTTTTGGGATTTCCCTGCTCCTGAGATTTTATAGGTGTAATGACATCTTTGGTTCCTAGTCAACTAATCTGTATGTTTGTACTTGTAGACTCACCTTGTCTGAAATATTTGCTTGTGCATAATGATTATTGTGATGCATTCAGACCATGATAGAAGTCTCTAAGTAAAGTAGAGAAAGTGGGGGAGATTCCAGAAATTTCTTGCAGTGTTGAGAATCAGGAATTTTACAAGTAAAAACACATCCATACAAAGAAGTATCAGCATTTTTGGAGCTGTCACCAGTCTGGTTTGTTCAATTTACTAGTTTTTCTACTTTTTTTTCCCCACCAGATAAAATCTGGTGACTGTAGGACTGTAATAGAGCAAAGCTACACTTTTGATGCCATTTCTTGGAAGATTTGCCTACCTAGCTGCAGGGATAGATTTTGTTGTAATATTAGTTTTGTCACAGTCTGTGTTTTGAACATTAATGTTGGGGTCGTTCATGCCTGAGACAGTGGAGATCTGGTTGGCTTTGCCGAGATTCTTAATGATGTTGATGTTGTATTTGGCAGTTTCCACAAAACTATTTTCTAGTAACCAACCATCTGATTCACCCTCCAGATCTCCTAGCAGGAGGACATTCTTCATGGCTGTCTGCAGGTACCGGACACCAATGAGTACAGAGAGCTGTAAGAAACAGTTCATGGTTAAACAGCTGAAATTGCAGCCTGTCCTATCGCTCAGTTTTCTGACTTGTGTGTTTACAGGCCTCATAACTGTGTAAAGCAGACAGACTCTTTATCCTAACAATATGTCTAACCACTTTTCCAGTTAATTACATTTTAAAAGAAAGATAGCAGGGAGAGATGGATTGATTCTCTCTTCATTCTTCAGGTAGCAATCCTCCTTGCATATAAATACCTAGAATTACTCGTGAACCTTGTAGCCTCAGAGACTGCAACTAACTGATGTCAAATGGATGATCAACTAATGGATCCATCAGTCACTAGGAAAGAAAAAATTGTAGTATGTTAATTTCAGTGGATTTTTTCTTTTCCACTGACATTGATTAAATCAATATTTCTTCCAAGGAGGTTTAATCATTCCCTTGTAAGCCATATGTGTCAAGCATGCCAAGGCATGAAAATTAAGAAGGATGGCAGAGGCTGAAGTCTAAGCTTAGGAAAAAGTTCCACTTTCATTGTTCTGTTGGAATCAGGATCAGCTTGTCAATATTTAAGGGAACACAGAGAGCTGCCTCACAGCTTTTCACATGCTTCAGGTTATTTCTGCCACCACAGCCCCTCCTAGAACTGCCTGAGAACTGTTGTGAACTACTTAAATTACAATGTTAATATTTATGTAATAAATAGAGCAATAGTCAGAAAACTAAAACATGCTAAAAAGGTAAGAAAACTGTATTGGAGCCTGTGCCATTGGGGAGTCCTTTACCCGCAGATGACAACATCCAGAGAGCTCTGCCTTATAGACGTCAGCAGGAGCACTGCAGCTTTGCAGGCATGTAGCTTGCCTGTGATGTGCTTATTTTGATTGCATAACCAGCAGCCCAATCTACTTCTAAAGGGATGATATGCTACTACTGCAAGTACTGTCTATATGGTGAAACTATGTAATATGAAAAGGAGGCTTTGAGATATTAATAAAATGCTCAATTTTAATTATAAACAAAATTAGTGCATTGAGCCAAAGACCTACTCATATTTTATATATTTCTTAAAACAGCACTCAGACCTTCTCACCAAATTTCCTTGAAGTTGTGTCACTGCATTTATCATCCTGTATCTGATCCCATAAATGCATCAGGGAAGGGATTATGCTATATTCTATTGAAAAAGCTTTATAAATTATATACATGGTTTCTGATAGTTCTCGTCCTCAACAAGATTTCCTTCTACTCTGTGGACTTTGGAAAAGTTGTCTTTGCTAAAAGAAATCCTTCAACATTCCTGATGTGCTTGTGGCCTTTATACTGGATGCTGAGGCACTTCTCATGTGTTACACTGTCATTGTTTTTCATGCTGGAGAGACAGAAGACTTATTAATCCGATAAAGACCATTTTTTTGTGAGACTTACCTCGAACAACCAAATAAGCAATGCTGCAATGCCAATGGATCTCATGATACCAGTGTAGTAATCCAGCAGGGCCTGTCTGCACCCCTTCATCCAGATATTGAGCTCCTCTGTGAGGAAATCGTAGTTGTAGTGAGCGCTGTTGTTTGTCAGCTGGTACTGGATGCAGGGCCGTGGTGAGCTGGGATTGCAGCAGCTGAAGGGGACTCCATCCACCAAGAACTTCCCGTCAACGTTGCTCTTCAGACGGCTGCAACAGGACAAAGTCTGGGCGTTACAAACCTGGTGGCAGCAGCAGGCAGTGCCTGTGATTTTAGAATAACACAACTCTGTTGCAATGTAGGCCTCTCCAACATAACAAAAGGAAAATGAGGATATGCTTTCAACTGGCAAAGTTGTTTACTGCAGGAACACTGAATATTGGATTCAAGTGTGGTGTAGGAGATGTTGCCTTTTTAGGTATCTTTGTGCTGAATACTAAAGACAATTTTTGGACTTGTTCATCTTAGTGGATATCTAATGGAAGTTATATCCCTGTAAATCCTGTATTTCACTACTTCTGGATTAATATTTCAGCATAATCATTCCATGAGAGGGATCCTAATACAAGAACAACTTTGTATGCCACAGGAAGCACTGGAAATCATCTGCTGGCCTTTTGCCACTGTACCCATTGCAAGGGCTGGTCCAGCACATGTTTTGCGACTAATTCACAAGGAAAATTCTACTTATTGTAACTTCACTTTCTGTAAATTTAAGAAATGTATTTGTTGCTAAAAATACTCATTTCCCTCCTCTATAAGATCAGGTGGAAAACAAGTGGTGAAAGAAGAAAGATAAAGGGGAATAGGAAAAAAAATTATAGGATGGGCAGAGAACACAGTCTCAAATTAACCAAGATTTTCTGGAAGATAAATGAATCTTTAGCATCTGTTTTCTTCCGAGAAAGAGATTTTCCAGAAACTGGACAGTATCTGAGTGAGAGACACACTCACACCTTGGGGAAGCAGCCTCTAAGCATGTATCTATTCTTATGCTTGGTGGAAAAGGCTGATTTCCTGAGACAGCCCTATGGGTGAAAACCATGTTCTGATTTATCAAGTCCAGGCCATTTACCCTTTGTAAGGGGACCGGAATACAGGATAGATAATTCCACTTAGATATACAGCATTCACTATTTGTCAATAGTAAATTTTCTAGTATTTTCCAAAACTTACTCATTTATTAATGTTTGCAAATAATATTTTTCTGTTCCAGTACAGCTGATCTAAATGAGAGGGAAGGAAATCATTAAAAGAAGCTCATTAGGTAAACAGAGCAGAAACACTGTGGTCCAGTCTTGACCTGGAATCTGGGACCTTCAAATGTAACACAAGTTGCTAGGAAGCTCAGTATTTGTGTCAGTGCTATGATGGCAGAAAAATTGCTTTTGTTTTATTGCTGTGAGCCCACTAAATACAACCTCCCTTTTTGTTTCTTCTTCTTTTCTTCCTCTAATTTGGATTGTAGTGGGTTTTTTTGTTTTACTTAAAATTCTCTCAAAAACATTTTCCTCAAAGTTCTTTCCAGGTAAACCAGGAAGTTCACCTGCCATTTCCTGCTCCAGTAAGGAGTGGGATAGGCATGAATTTTTCTCCATTTTCAAGTCTAGCTTTTCATTTTGTTGCCACCATATCCCTGACTGAAGTGTGTGAGCCATGTTGTGGGCATAGGCAAAACCAAGCACTGGAAGGGAAGGGAGCCAGAGAGGCACAAACTAGAGGGCTCCAATGTGGGAGGAGAAGAGAAAGTTCACAGAGGAGAGAAGACTGGCACATTGTGAAAGGGAAGATCTTACCTGGGATGGCAAAAGGCCCTCCATGTTTCAAGGTATTATATATATTTAATGACCCCAATATAGTACAGCATTTAAGATGCTTGACATACAATCTCTTCAACTCTTTTGATTTCAAGCATCAATTAAAACACTTTCTTTTGTTCTGGGAGTGGTATAAAGAGGAGTCCTTTCTACTGCCAACAGTAGCAGTTTTCAGACTTGGGTTATATCCTCCTGCCACTGTGTTTCCTCTGCTAGTGGCAAATTAAAAAAATATTTCATTTGTGTCTTGGTACTGTTGGAAGGGAAGACTTCAGTAAAAGAATTGGTGGAGCTACACATTCACTGCTATTTGCTGTTGCAATTCAAAGTAATTATGGTATTGTAAAGCAAATCTTTGCTTTTGAGCAAAGATGGTTTTTACCCAACCAAAGCAATGGTAGCATTGTACTGCTGTAACCTCATGTTGCTACCATTCCCACTGACTGTTTCCATGCCTTGTTAAATTGTGGTGTTGGCAAGAGATCTGTAGAAGAGGGTTTTGCAGGAAGGTGAAAAGTTCAGTTTTGCAAAGCTTACATGTGAGTTCACAGTATGTCAGATCTCACCTGCTTTGCCTCTTGATCTACAAACTACTGACACAGAGTACAAGTTGAAACCAAGAAAGACTTGGTTCCTTCTCCATCCTTTCAGAACATCACCAGCTGGGCTTTGCTTCCAAGTATTTCATATCAAATGTTTCACTAGTAGATTTTTGGAAGTCATGGTATAGTTTTGTTATACAGTACCAACTTGGATTTTGCCACTCAAGATAATATTAAGCAATCTACCCACAGCAAAAGACATTTACAAATTACTTTCCTCACACACATTTCACTGCCACCTTCTGCCTAAATGGGCAAAACCTAACTGACAGTGTATTCTCAAAACAATGGCAGAGCACAGAGGAGCCTTCAGAATAAAACACAACTTAATTAAAGCCCTGGGTAAAACATTACTGTTTCTGCCTCTCTCACAGAAATAAAAGGAAGTATATTTTACTTTTGACCTCACACTAAGCTACTACTCCTAAATTCCCAGGGATAGTCTTTGTTGTCATGTTGCTTTTCAGCATAGACCCAAGACTTGAAACAGCTCTGGTCAGTCTGTTCTGTGTGACACTTTCTAACTTCTCTCTCTTGAGAATGCCTGTATTGGTTTATTTCCACAGACAAGTGTCTTCTGTATACTGATGCCCTCTTGTTCCTATTCTCCTAGGTCCTGCCCTCTGGTATATTTGCAGCTCTCTATATATGCTTTGCTTATGCTGGCAGTTTCAAATTGCAAATTCTGTAAAATTAAGACCTTTGGCCTCCCTTTCTCTGGCTTTAAATTGTCACTGATTTTTGAGTTCAACAAAATGTAGCATTTACAAATGCCAGTCAAGCTCTTTCCATTTGTCTTTCCTGGGAATACGAAGCTACTATTCTCTTGACAGTGAAGACCTTTTTCAGCTTTAGAAGAATTATTACAGACTGGATTGTTTACTTTTGTAAGTTTTAGATTTTTACCTTTTCTGTAAGTATTACCACTCTTTGTGCATATAATTTCACAGTTGCTACATCATGTGAAGCACCACCAGCAGAAAGAAATGGGAGATTTCTGCTTTTTATGCAGTGTATGTGGTATTTGGCAGTTTCTCACATGTGAACGTACAGATTTGAACTTGGGATTGCAAAGTCTAATACCTTGAAGAAGAGGGGTCTTTCAGTGCTTAGAATTGACTGTGCAACGTACTGATAGTACAATCCTTTTTTTCTTACTGTTATCAGCTCACTATAAATGAAATTCAAAATTTGAGGTAGCTAATTCACCACACTGAAAAAGGAAATACATCTTTGCTTTGTTTAGCATCCCTAAAGGCTTAGCAAAGGGCAGCTTTTGATTGTGCATGTATTTAGCATATTTTGTGAGTAACCTAGTCATTCTACATTTTTTAAAATTATGATGCAAAGGTCCAGAAAAAAGGGCTTTCCAGTCCCAAAAGAGTTTTTCTTCTAGATTTTTTTGCTGTGACTGATAAATACTTACTCCAGAACCTCCTTGGAAGCCATATTCAGATACCGAGGAGAGACCCACTGAATTTCAAACCAGTCTCTAAAGCCATTGTTTCCACAGCAACGGAATCCAATTTGTAACAAATCCACTGTTTTCTTTAAGAAACATCGTCCAGGTATGTCTGTGTCTTTATAGAACTTAATGGCATCCCTCAGTCCCAGATAGAGAGACTCTTCCAGCTCGTTCCTCATGGTATAGCACATGAGAGCACCCACCAGGATGCAGAAGGTAAAACAGAAGGTACATACGATGTATGGCAGCATTACTAGTTTCCAGCGAGAGAACTTGTTTGCATCTGAGCAGTCATAGCAGATTTTGCCACCCAGAAAGTTGATGATACATGCTATGACCCCTACAGAGATCAGCATGTTGGGGACAGAGTTAATGTCCCCTTTTGCCATCACTTCATTGCGCTTCTTGATCTCTATTTTCAGAAAGAGGCCAAGACTGAAGAGAATGATCCCACTCACTACAGAAACCCAGTTGAGGATCCATAAGATCTGAGCCAATTTGTCCCTCTTGGTTTTGGTGAATTTGACTTTGAGGACAGCCATAGTCAGACACGCATTAGGAAAAGCAGCGTAGGTCAAGGGAAGCTCATAAGCTGATTAGGAGCATGGATCCAAGGCGTGCAGTGGAAATCTGAAGAAGAGGGAGAGAGATTACTGTCTGTTTGACCAGGTATTTATAGAGCCTACAAAAGAACTTCCTGTACAGCCTCACGCACTCTGAGTCCTGCCAAGGGAGTGCCCTGGTGAAATTTATTGCTTAAATTTTGTAACAATGTGAATCACTTTAAAAAAATAAGTTCTAAGGACCAGCTAGAGCAATTAAAAATAAGTGAATAGTATGAACAGAGACTCTGGATTCCTATGAATTTTTGTCAAGACCAATTTTCTGTGCAGACCTGATATCTAAAAGTGAACTGGTCTGCTACCTTTCCCTTCAGATGACTCCCAGCATCTTTCCCTTCTACTTGTTGCCTTTATTTTTTTTAACAATTACACGTATTTATTATTATTAGATTCCTGTGTTATGGTCAGGTTTCTGTTCAAAAGATGAATAAACATATATACAGCCTTCTTTTTTCTTTCCAGAAATCTTGCTTGTCTTGTTCCTTTGGCAACTCTCATTAGAGTGATTTTATATTGTAAAAACTCTGCATTATATAATTATACGGTAATTTAATTCCAGTAATACAATGGCATTTATAAACAGTAAAGTGTAATCCTGTAAATCTGGGGAAATAGAAAATATCATGCTGCTTATATATCTCTAAGTTAGTGGATGCTATTACTGAATAAAACTTGTATCAGCAAAAACAGCATGAAAAACACCTGAGCACAGACAAGCTGTACAGAAGTAGGGCTGCACTGACCCAGTAGAGGGTCCCCAGCTGCAGTGAAGCTTAGCATTGGATAAGCAGATTGTTGCAGAGTGCAGTTGGAAAAGGTAACAGAATCCCAGCATCTTCATGTGTTTACGTCAGAAGGAATCAGTTCAGTTTGTACAGGCAAGGAATAGGTTGTGTGATTCATATTAGGATATGGTTAAATATCTTCATACACTAAGATTTTAAGGCCTGTGATATCTAATTAATTCAAGTTTCATTTATTTACTCCTGCATTTACAGAGAAAACTAATTCCTCTTAAAGCTATTCAGCTCTGTGTATCTTTTGTACAATACAGAGAATAGTGTGCAAAATGCACAGTATTTTTCCTTATCAGTCTATTTCCTGAGGTGTTGAGGCCAGCAGCTTTCTGAATTTTAAAGTTCAGAAATATGGTCCTAATTGTAATGATTGTTAAGGTTGATTATTAATTATGACTGAATATTTATTGTGATCATATTGTGATAATCATATAAATGATAGACCTTACAGAAATGTCCAGAGAATAGTCATTTATAAAATTCCACCACTTGCTTCACACCATTTTTCTCCAGTACTGTTCAGACCTCATTTGAAGGGATCATGCTCTGGTGGTACAGAATTAAGCCTCCCTGAGTTCAGCTGACAGCCTGAATAAGCCTGCTAAGCCTGGAGACAGTATCTTTGATTGCTTCACCAGTTAAGCAGTTTGTGACTTGACCTTAAATAACTGTAAATGATGGCTGCTAATAGATCTATTTGCCCCTGATGCCCAGGCCTCAGAGCTCACAACAGCGAGAATCTGTTGTGAAATTTACTCATTGCTGATACACAGCTCATGTTCAATGGCCAGCACTCATGAATGCATCACTCACTGTTCATTTCTGTGAAACACATGCACATATTTGAACAATGCCTCAAAATTGTTCAGCACACATTTAGTTACAGTGTCACTGAAAACACCCTACTTGCTAAACATATTTAGTTTTACTATTTGGACAAAAGTTGTAAATGGTTCTGCTCTACTTAAAATTAATCTACTCCAGAGGCATTGTTGCTTTTGGAAGATATAGATTTGAGACTTTGTCATATTCTAGCTGTAAAGAAATTTGAAGTTGAGTTCCATCAGTGGGGATACATTCAATCTCATGGAGCTATTCCATCCCCAATTTTCAGATGCCTGATGTTTAAAAAAAGTTAAAAACCTCCGTGCAAGAAAAATTCTCCTAGTAATTCCTTGTCTCCAGAAATTCTCATGAGGTATTCTTAGCTTCCTTTGTGAATTTTTAGTATTGTTGTGGGATCATATTTCACGGAATATTGACATCTATCTTACAGTGCTACCCACACCAGCAGCATAAGATCTGTGATTTCATGGAGTCCTAGTGCCAGATAAAGGGGTGGAATGACTGGTTGTTTTAGTTCAAAGGCCACTTGTTGACTGACCCTGGCTGTCACTGATATGCTTGGGATTGATCTTTGGGAGACACTACTTCTCATGAAATCCTGAGTGCATTGAGTCTGGGACAGAAGAGCAAGTGATCTATTCCATTCCTTGTTCCTAGCCTTCTACATGGATACTTATGTTAAGATTTTCACCTGTGCTAACAGTTTACTGAATTTATTTCTGATAATAAGACTCTCTTCACATCAGGAAGAATTTTATAAATGCATCATAACATTATTCTTTCCCTGTTTAACAAAGTATTGAATACATTTATCAGTGTAAGATCTATTGTAACACATGCACAGCTGTGTGGTATAATTTTTTGAGCACCATGAAGAAAGTTTTTCCAGCTGGAAGAGCTGAACTGCAGTTATGAGCTAAAAATGTCAGTCTTGCTCTGCAACATGTGTCTGTTCTTCTCCAAGTCATAGTTGGCAGTGGGTTACTGTAAAGCCACAAATGCTCCCAGCATTTCAGTGGAACTAACGCCTCTGTCATAGTTCTTAAAAACCTGTGCATGTGAGCCACTTCAGAGTTATGAATCGTATACACACAGACATACTTTCCCCAGCTATGGGACAGTAAACTGGATTTTATTCTATAAAGGGAGAAATACTTCTTTCAACAAAAGAAGACAAATAAATGTGGAAATCTCTCCCATACTATCAATACTGTTCTCAAGCTTTCTTTGTCTAATGAAAATTGATTTAACTTTAAACACAGCTTCCATCACCATACAATTTGCTTTCAAGATGTTGCCTAGCTGTTCCTTTGCTATCAAATTCTCCTAACTCTATTGAAGAAGACATAGCATAGCTATTTTTTAATAATATTTACTCATTAGATACAAATTGTTCACAGAAATTTTGCAATTTTGTCATAAACAAGCCACATCTTATCTTACTGATTTTGCTAAAATCTGCTATTTAACTAAACATACATTGCCATTTGTGACATTATAAAAGAAACCACTAACCTGCTTCAGAGGACTGAACAGGATCTTGAAACTGGTAACTTGTTGAATTCAATGGAGAAAATACCTGAATTGGACATCCTGAGACTGGCTGAAATACTGATTTCCTGATGTTTCTGTAGTTGCTCTGTCTTCACACTGACTCACCAATGAAGATGGAGAAAACCACTTCAACTCTCCTGCCTGTGGTAATCTCTCCTTCATCTCTAATCGTAGGTAAGAGATTTATTTCAAGGTTCTTATGCCACCAGATTAAATCCTACAAAACAGGCCAATTAACTGAGTGTGAACTGAGATCTCACCAACAAAATGGTTTATAGGACTTTCTTTGACCGTTTTACCCTGCTGGAGATTTGGGCTAGAAAGCAACAGAACTGTTTTTCAGTACCTGCCAATGTCTTCAATAGCTCTTAACTTGATTTTAACAATAAATATGCCTTCAAAGGAGGGAAGAATGAGAATAATGAAACTTTGTGATTCTGTGGGAAGGGAAAATCTATCTTAGGCAACTATTATTTATATCCATTATTATGCTCCTTACCCATCATTCCATACTTTGTTGCTTTGGATGCAATTTTCTGTTCTCTGTACATTGAATGTGATTGTCCTAGAAAAGAATTCAAGTATCCAAGAGCAATTGGATCATCTGTATGATTCACGGTAGGTTCTGGCTTGGGAAGCTTTCCAGGTTCAAGAACATTCTAGTAGAAACCTCTGTCCTAGTCTCTTATCTAGCTCTATTCCAAACCAGAAGCAAAAGCAGAAGTGTCATGTCCTCTGGCATTTCTGAGCACAGCATGTAGCAATCTGTGGGACAGATGTGGCTGGTTTGAACCGGCAACAGTGGTGGCAACAAGCTGAGTCTGCAGCAGGGCTTGGTCAAGTTAGAGGTGATGTCAGTACCAGAACTGAATCCCTAAGCAGGACCAGGTTTGAGCTGTAGGCTTGAGCTTAGCACAGCAGAGAGAGTTCAGTGGGCACATGACTAACTGCAAGAGACCCTGCACCAGGCACTGTAAATGTGTAGAAATATTCTCAGAAGCATAAACTGTCATCTCCTGGCTTATGATAAGCAATGAACAAGTAGCCTGATAGGACTGTGATACTAACTCGGTTTTCTGGCAGTACCTGCTTTATCCTGCCTGTGTCCGAATGATTCAGAGCATCTGTGACACATCTGGGACCTGTTGGACCAACTGCATATGGGCCACACAAATGCTTGCATATGATCAAATACACCCCAATAGCATCGAATTAATCCTGTGCACGAGTCATTCATGCTTTGGATTTGCAGCACTCCTGCAGACTACAGGGAATATTTTAGATCTGTTCAAATGTGTTGGTTTGTGTACAGATTAACTCCACGGAAGTATATTCAAAGGTATAATGTATTCCTTGGGTATAGCACAAGCACACAAATGTACACATTTTGAGCTATTGTTCAGCTAGAATGTGATATATCAGACCTGACAAATGGCTGTACTACTTTCCTATGTTAAAAAAAAAAGTTCACTCGTGACAATTGTATGCATCTGCAGAACTACAAAGGCGTTATCCCTGAGTGTTAGAAAATGTTACTGCCTCAGTTACCTAGTAGCAGAAAACTGCACCTTCCCTGTGGCTGCTTTGCAACACAAACCACGTACTGGCATGCACAGAAGCAAACAAGCAGGAGATGGCAGTGCTGCTGTATGAAGGCTTTTTGTACAATACAGAGCAAGAAGCTTTTTTTTTTCTTTCAGTTTGCATTAGAGATTAGAGGTCATTCACACAGCTAATGGAAACTCAAGAATGCCCCATTGTAAAAAATTACTTAAATCCAATTGTAATGCAGTTAGAGGCCAGTGCTACCTGTATTTTTTGTTCCATCTCATATTTGGAAATGTCTTCAGCTGCAAATGTAATATCAAATGTTGAATTATTCAGG